TGCCCATTAATTTACTACTGGAAATCTGATCCCTTGAATGTCTTGAGCAGCTTGCATGCATGCTAGACACATGCAGTCGCGCATGCATGAAAACCACTGTTTTCTTGGCACGTACTTCTGATTCACGTTGCCCTATTATGTATTGAGAGATGTAAAGTCAAGTCACATTTAATTTTATCATTAAGTTTACGGATGAGATTAGGCCAGAAGCGGCACTGCTTTCAATCCTCGGCTAGCCGCTGCCGAATGCCGATTGCCATCTAATTAAATCCGGCCAGTTTCTTTTTTTTTTTTTTGGAAAACAATCCTGCCAGTTTCTTGTCTACTCTTTCTAATGGTTATCACGACCATCAAGAGCCATGCATGCGCATCTCTCTCTCTCTCTCTCTCTATAGATATATATATATATATATCTATATACACACATACACTATAGGGCTTTGAACTTGAGCTCTCTCTATATCTTCACTCATGTTTTCTCCGACGATGAGTTTCAAAAAGGGACTGATTCATTGTTGCATGTCGTTGTGTCTGATCGTTATGGTAGCCAATCATGTTGAAGCACGTCAGCAGCCTGCAGAGATTCCAACACAGGTTGAGGAGGAGCAAACCAAGGGAAAACCCCTAGGAGGAAGTGGGAATGATCAAAGTGAAGGAAAGGTGATGGAGCAGTCCTCAGGAGAGGCAAAGATGGATGAGTTGGGTGAGAAGAAGAATTTGCCACCACTTCCTAATATTCCCATTCTACTCCAACTCCCAATTCCACAATTCCCATTCCCGCCCCAAATTCCTGGCTTTCCAATTCCACAATTCCCGTTTCCACCCCAAATTCCTGGCCTTCCAATTCCGCAATTCCCCTTCCCACCCCCATTTGAGATTCCTAATGCCCCTCCATTCCCATCAATTCCCAATTTCCCATTCCCTCCTTTTAATATTCCTAATATCCCCTTCTTTTCACCTCCTCCTGCTTAACTTTTCAAGTTGATTAATTAGGCAGTAAGCTTTCTGTTACTTTTTTTTTTTGCAAGTTCTATCAACTAATTACTGTGTGTATGCTTTGTTGCAACGTAAGTAGTTGAGCTGGGGTAATTGGCTAGTATGCTACTTTTTGTATGATGTTAATTTCAATTTAATAGTGAAAATTATTTAGTTTCCCTACCCAACTTATATGCAACATTTGTATTGTGGTATAATTACAATTTTACACCATTCAGATCAATTACAGTGAAATTAGTTGGGATGACGATATTAACACATTTTTTTGTGGCCAACTTGTAGGGTATAGCTAAAACTAGTTAGGATAGTGATATTAATACTCGTTTTAAATGTCTCGTGCACTCTTCAATAAGTACAAAAACTTGCAAATTATTCAATTTAGAGTGCAGATAAAGTAGTGACAAAATCGCTACCCAAAGGTTGAAAAGATTACTTTTGATATCAGCTTGTAGTGTGAATAATTGAGGAACAATGAGTCAGCAAAACAACTAAATATATTGATTGCATTATTTCTAAAACATTGAAAGGAAAAAAAAAAGGGTGAAATCATCACCCAATCAAGCTGCAATTTGAGAACACACAATATGAGCTAGCTTGCTAGGAGTAGTATAAATAGAAGTTGACGTGCCTACAACAAAAAGGTAATTCATGGGTTAGTTGTTGCCTCCTTGGTTGGAATCACTGGGCCTGAAATCTTAGCCAGCACTGGTGGCCGTAGAGGAGCAAAAGGATTATTAACTGAAGGCATGGTTGGGAATGGGAATGGGGGAATTGAAGGGATTTTGGGAATTGTTGGGAAGCCAGGAAATGGGTGCAAAAAGTTGATATTTTCAAGTAGGCTGGGAAGCTGCTGCACCATGGGCTCTTTGAAGTAAGGCACTGTTGGTTCCATTTGGCTGTTGAAGGTGAAAGGTGCAGGGAAACTTGACTGCACAGCGGAGGAGGAAGAGTCAGATCCCAAGAATTGCATCGTTGATGGCTTCTTTAGCTCCAACAAGCGGCTGGATGCCAAGCATAAGTGAAAGCTGCAAAGTAGCGAGCCGAGAAAGAGCAAGTACAAGAGAGAACTGAGACCAGTGAAAGCCATAATAATTAGGTCAACTGAGAAAATTAAGTGATGATATATTGATGGTGATTAAAGAATGGGGCGCTTTATATATATAGAGGCAGAGAAGAGAGAGAATTATTGTTTGGCTACTTATATGGTTGGTTCATGGTTTTCGTGCTACTTCTACTTTGAACCTAATACTTGAGTCGTGCACACATTTTGGCTTTTGGCTTTTGGCTTTTGACTTCATCTAACAGGAAGTTGGAACTGTTTTGGTGTTTCACTTTGTTTATGAGATTAGGGACTTTTCATCAAGAAAAGCATGTGCCTCATTACAAGTTTAGAACTTCATTGGTTGAATCATTAGCTAAGAAGTTGTCTTGTAACTGGTCGTATACATACATCTCATTCTATCAACCTCTTTCCTATTCTATGATAGACACAAGGTGATATTAGATTAATAAGGAAATCTGACTGATGGAAGGCTAAGTAATATACAAGGGCAGAGAAGAGAGAGTGAATTCTATTTTTGGTGCATGGACCGTCTCTGAGATTTTCGGGGTCCTGTACGAAATTTACAAAAGGGCTCATTCTTAAGATAGCTTTTCAAAAAAAGTAAAGATAATGTACTGATGTTAGAAAGTAATAACTTAAATCAAAACAAACTTAAAACTTACTAATTGTACATTTATAAATATCATTAAATAATAAGTAAAGAGAGTTACAAACATAACCTTTACTAAATAGTCAAAATCACTTCAATCTTAAACAACCAAACAAGAAAAAAAGTTTCAAAAACTCTAACGTCAAAGTTTCACTTGAATATATAGCATTATTATATAATAGAATTGAAAAAAAAAATCGTTTTTAGGTGTTGTTATTAGCACTTCAAATATCTCATTGTACACTCCAAATATTTATATTTAGAAAGAAAATAAACTTACACTTATAAAAAGTGTACAATGAGATTTTAAAGTACTAATAAAAATAAGGGGCATTTAGATCCAGGTCCAAAAAAATCAGCTACTTTTGGATTGAGTCCAGTTAGATATTCTTCCCAGTTTAGGTCTAATTGATCTCATCTTATTCCCGTTTTGCCCTTTATAGTAAAAATAAATATATATTTAAATTTCCTAATTTATGCATTATTTACTCAAATTTGAATTTCAAAATTTGAATCTTCAAATTCCTCAGTCTAACCACAACTTAAGGAAAAAAATTTAAAAGTAAGTTCATTTGTATGACTATAAACCCATGACTTAAGTTGAAATGAATGATATATATAAAACATATGAAAAAACCTATGAACAAAAACCTGTAATATAAGCAATGAACAAAAACCTATGGTATAGGTAGATAAATATTTTTAATTTGAATTAGAATATCAAGAACTAATGTGTGTGTGCACTATTAATTCATGGTATAAGGTAGATAGAACAAGATAACCTATGATACAGGTAGAAAAACACAATTAACTTGAGACAAATTATCAATAATGTGTGATAGGTAGATAATACAATTTATCTATGACACATGTAGTATAAAACACACAGAGGTAGATTAGAAAAAAGATGTGATATGTATACCAAGAAGATCCATAGAAAATGATGAATAAAAAGATGATGCTGAGGGAGTAAAACACGAAGAGGTTTAGAATAGAAAAAAAAAAAAAAAAAAAAAAAAAGAATTAAAGCGTACAAGATTGGCTAAATTCTACAAATCAAACCAACAATAGAAATTTGAGTTGGACATCTTTGATCATCTACGCTTGGGAGTAGGGAGGAGGGAAAAAAAGAAGATATCATGAGGGATGAGAAGGAGACACCGTGAGGGAGAAAGAGAAGGAAGAATAGGAAACGTTTTAAAGAGAATTAAATTCCTATACTTAATCCGATCATTAAGCATAAGATAATCCTATGAATAAGGATTAAAAATCATCATAAATATAAAAAAATTAATAATATATTAATTACTTAATTAGTCAATTTAGGGATAAATTTGGCAAAAAATAAAAATAAGCTGATGTATACAATGAGCCATTGGACCTAAGTCAATAATCAAGCAAAATTAGACTCATATCAAATTTTCTCTAAAAATAATTATTATTTTAATATATATCATTATTACATATAAATTTTAGATCCAAAATTTTTTGGGGCCCCTCAAATTTGGGACCCTGTTGGGTGGCTCCCCTGGTTGGTGTTCAGGGCTCCCAGACTGCTTCTACCTTGAACCTAATCTTTGACTCATGCACGCAGTTTGGCTTTCGAATTTGCAGTACACTATTTGGACTGAAAAAAACCATTGGGTCTGTTCAAGGCTCAATCCCGTTATTTTTAACCTAAAGCGATGATGAGTATTTTGACAACAAAACACAAGATGATGAGTATTTTATTCTTAATAGAAATAAACAGTTCGCAGGTTCAAAGATTTCAAAGTGCTTTACACGTGGCATTATAGACGACAAATACCCTTACACATTATGCAGTTAACTCAGTAAGTTTTTATAGAGAAAAAGTTGTTTTTTGATGGCAATTTGGTGGTTTTGTGCGGAAGAAAGATCAAGTGGCAATGTAAATTCTTATCTTTTGTCAGTAAAGAATTATATAAGGTAGTAGAAGGGCAGAAAACAACAATACCAAACTCATAAACACAAAAAAGACTTCAAAGTTCTCTAGCTTACCTTTTCCCAATTCTTTTTGTAATTCAACTCGGCCACATTACTTATATTATCGATTTCTTGAAAGAAAACTTCATTTCAAAGCAATTTAGCTACTAGTAAGAAAAAAATTTATTTAGATTTTATCATAACCTTACTGTGTCTATTTCAAAATAATAATAATAATAATATTGTGTCCGTACAAGTGGATGGACATGTGAAAATATAAGTGGAGCCAATAGGCAGGTGCAACGACCTCATGGAAACCGAGTAACAGACTATAACAGCCCATTTTTTTTTTTTTTGAACAATATAACTGCCCAATTAAACAATCAATCTGCGCTGCAAAACTAGAAGAAAAGGAAAGAAAAAAAGCTTGACAGTCGGAGTTCATCCATGGCGGGTTCCGATCCAAACAAGTTGCTCGCCAAAGCCGATAAACTGTCAGTATCTCTTTAATATCTAGTAATATATACAATTTTGTGTTTGGTTTATGTATTGATGCAATTAGATTGAGCAAAATCGTCTCTTACTTGTTGTGATTTCAATTAGTTATGGGGAGTAATCGAATTTTTTATTTTCTGGGATGGTGGGAAATCGGATGAAGTTGCATAAATTTTGAATCTTTCAGTAATCTGCATATGAAGATGAAGTTGGCAAGCTTGAGCTTTCAGTAATCTGCTAATCTTTCATAATTTAGAGTTGTATATAACTTCTGGAATTTATATAACCGACAATTTGATTTTGGTTGAGATTTGTTTATTTGTTTAGGGGGGGAAGAGCAGAATAGGGCAAGCTTTGTCTTTTTTTGTTAGAAAACCAACGAAAAGTCAAAAAAAAAAACTTTAGTTTTAATGAAAAATGACAAATAAAGGTGTAGTGAATAGTATCAGGCTAGAAATGTGGTATTTCATTAAAAGCGAACAGTACCAGGAATGTCTCGTTAAAACTCCTTTTTTTGTTTGTATTGTAACTTTGATTGCTCAAGCTTTGTCTTCTGAATTTAGTTTTCGATTGTAGAACAAGACTCAGTCTTACAAGGTGGAGTGCTGATTGGAATAGCGCTACTCTTTTGTATGAACAAGCTGGTATGTAATATGTTTTGTGCAACCGTAAGCCTTCATTACAATGGTTTATGGGGTATTTGGATTAAACTTCGTTTTCTGTTGCAGCTAATGGGTTTAGGATTGCCAAGGATTATGAGAAAGCTAAGGAAGCGTTGGAAAAAGCTTCGAAGGGACAAGAATTGATCTCTTCGTATCCTTGTAATCTTTAAATTGCATGGTCTGTCCTTTCGGTATCATTTGATTTTGTTTGTGATCTCTATAATTTCTACTTGCTATAACCTTTACTACCAATTAGACCCTGGGATGCTGCAAAGCATATGGAGTCTGCTGCTGCTCTAGCAAAGGAGTTAGGGAAGTGGAATGAAGTTGCTGACTTTTATAAAAGGGCGTCTGAATTGTACTCTGAGTGTGGGAGATCACAACCTGCATCAGATGCTCTTGCAAAAGGGGCACGGTAAATATATGGTTCACTCCCTTGCTTTTGGCTGCTATGAATCTTAATTTCTTAAAAGTTGGACTGTTCTTAAAGGGTTCCTTTTTAGAGAAAAAAAGAATTCACTCATATCGGCAGTAAAGAATATAAAGTGTTTCAGTCGAATAATTTCCTAAAATCCTTCCAATATTTGCAATGGCTCAATCTGAATAATGATCTTTGATATTCAAATGTTATGTCCAAAAGTGTTAGTGTACTAGCACCAGATTTAATTGGTTGACTAATTGCGTGGCTCTTCACCATTTTAAGTATTCTTATCGTTATAGTACTCACATTTCTTTTATTCTTGTTCGCAAAAAGAGCTTACAATTGTATAAATTCACATACACAGATGTATGGTAAGTTCCTGAAATTTTAATAAGCGTAAAAGCTTTGATCAATTGAAGTTTCCCATGCCATATGGAACTCCTCTTCTTATATTTTCTTTCCCTATATTGCTATGCTGTTTTTGTAGTTGCTTTCTTGCTCGGTACTGTATATGCTCGATGTGGGATTACAGCTTGATATACATAGCCTCTTTGTGCTGCCTTTTATTCTCCTGTACTGGTTTTACTGTTTGAATGAGAGTGTCTTTGGTGAACAATTTGAAGTGATAACCCTTTTTACAGTGCTATTGAAGATTCTATGCCTGATGAAGCTATTCAACTTTACACTGATGCTTGTGCTATTCTTGAAGAGGATGGCAAGGAGCAAATGGCCTTTGATCTATATCGTGATGCCACTAGTGTTTACATAAAAAGTGAGAAGTAAGTTTTCAACTGACTACCATTTGACTTTTAAATTTGGCAGTCTATTATTTTAGTTGATTGGGAGAGTAAACTTTGGTCATTAGCATTTAATTGATTGAGAGGATGAAATAAATTGTTGCAATCATTGTTTAGGCAAACAGATCTGACCTTGTAGAATCAGATTGTAGTTGTTCTGGAAGGGCAGTACTTTGAGGTTGCAAAATGTCAAAAATTTAAGGGAGTTTTCATTCTCAGGAATTAGTGTAACCTGTGACAAGTTTTTCCTTATGCGTTTAATCACGTTCTTGAGATCTTGAAATTAGTGTTTCCACTGTTTACAGGTATACAGATGCTGCTGCTTTCATGCTCAGATTTGGGTTATCCGCTGATAAGTGCAATGCTACACATAGCCAGTGCAAGGTTCATAAGTTCTTAAATAGCATCTACATAAAAAAACAATTTGAACATTAACATATTGTTATCCTTTTGCGCGTTGGTCACTGTTTTTAACTGCTTTATGTTTCATGTTTTAATAAACTTAACTCTACATTCTTTGTCTAATCAGGCATATCTTGGTGCGATTATTATTTACCTTTATGTCCATGACATCAAGCAAGCAGAGCAATGCTACAATGACTGCTCCCAGTAAGTAAAAGTTATCTCGGGGAAACTTCTGGTTCTGCAATATATAGAAGTTCTAATTCTGCTCACTGTTTATTATAAATTTATGATTGTCGATAATACTTAAAAATATTAGTAAATTCGGATTTTACTAGTTTCTTTATGTATGTAAAACAGGTTTCAACTGACATAATCTGCATCTGGATCATGATTATAGAATAATGATTAGCCTGTAGTTATCTGTGTTAGTAAGTATGAGTTTGAGACCTTATTTAATACTCAGATTTAGTTGCTTGGCTGTTATCATGCACATGCACAGTTAGTTGTATTTAGAATAATGTATGCTTCATAACAAATAAGATTGTTAATTACTAAAATAAGTATAAGGAGGCATGGTAAAGTGGCCATTGTATCCTATTGATTTTTATTTTCTTTTTTAATTTTGGTTTAACTCTAAAAATTTCAGAACATGGATGTCTCGAAGTAATGGCTTGCTGCTTTTGGTTGTGTAGGGTTGATGCATTTTTGAGAAGCGACCAGTGCCGTTTTGCTGGTAAACTTCTGTCAGCTTACACAGGCGGTGACGTGGAAGAAATAAAAAAACTTGCTCAGTCAAGCACGGTTAATCATCTTGATCACATGGTAATATATAAGTTTGCTTGCGGCCTTTGAATATTTGAATTGATTGAATTGGTATTAATCTGAGTATGAGTCATGACTTTTCTGGGGAGCGATGCTTGGATAACGGATCTTGATTTGCTTTTCTGAAGGCAACTGTGACTATTTAATCGAGCTTTCTCTCATTGATTTAGCATGACATAACATATTCAAGAACTCAGAGACAACCACACTCGGTTTCTTTGCTCTTGTGAAGAATTGTTAAAACTGACACATCTGCTTAGTGCTTACCAAGATGTTGCATAAATATTAAGTTGGTTGTTGACATTTGTGAAGAAATTTATATTTGTTGATAAGAAGATACAGTTTTGACTTTTAAATATGTAACAGTTACCTCTTTGATCAAGGGCTTGAGGTTTTGTTTCTGCAACATTGAACAGAAATATTGGACTGCATAATAATTATCCTGGGTTTTTATTCTGCCTTGCATGATTAATATGTTGCAAATCTGCATTTGTTTTTTGGCGTATATTTCACTAAACTGAAATGGCTGCAGATCATCAGGCTCGCCAGGAAACTGCCGATGGGTGATGTGAGTGCGCTGAAGACCCATGCTTCCGAGGAGCAAGAACCGCTGGATGAAGATGACCTTACATAGCCTTACGCTGATTGTCATATATTTTATGATGTCTTGATCTTGTTACATTAATAGAACATGAAAACTTTTGAGCCTGTTTCAAAACAAGTAAAAAACCACAATTGTAAGTATTTGGGCCGTTTCATATTTTAGTCATTTGGGTAATGACACAAACCGCAGACGTTGGGCATTGGATGATGTATCACTGGATTTCAAGTTGTTTTTTTACAATTATTATTATTATTATTTTTCTGTTGACAAGACAATTTCCAAAACTACTCTAGTATACACCGAAATGAGAGATTCGAACCGGGGTGCAAGAGGCATTCATGTTACGCTACCGTAACTATCGTCTGTCATTTTTTCCCTTTTCACTCGCAGTCAGTTTCCCTACTTTGCATTTCATGTTCCAAAATGTTTCGGATGATGAGAACATGACTGGTTCCGACTGATCCGGTGATTGATTGCACGTCGAAGAAAGATTTTCTTACATAAGAGTCTTGAACATATTCCCCCTCATATGGATGTTCACGTGAAGAGCGCACGCCATGAGAGTTGTACTAGATACCCGGGATATATACGGGTTGCATGGATGAATCCCTCCGAATATCCGAAGGAGAGTGAAAGTTATGATAAAAAGGAAATAATTTGAGACTTTTGAGAATTGGAAGAAACTCTTTTTAAGATGCCTCCGACAAAATCTCCTGGAGTACATGGTAGGAGTTGGATTGTTGTCATGTGGATATCTTTTGTAGTGATTGCGTCTTTAATAAACAAGATACTATCTAAAAGATATAATGTTACATTTACCATCTATTTATATTATCTTTTACTACCTTAATAGAGAGGTAGGAACAGTCAATGCATGTAGATTCTATCTCTATTGAAGATGGTATAAATGATAGTATAATTAAAGGGTAGAATAACATCTCTGATGGTAAAATCCCATTAAAAAGGAAAATTCTAAAATTTACCCAATTAAATTGGGACTGCAACAAGTATGACATTTTAATACATATAGGAATGCTTTGAAACATCCTCCTTAATAAATATTATTATATTAGAATTATAATAGGAAACCTATGAAATCTATCCGTTGTCTCTTGCTGCCGGTCTCTTTTCCTCTCTGTTCTTAAATACAATTCACTCTTCCTCTCTAATCCTAAATACAGTCAAATACATCTACAACAAAATACGCATTCTGATTTCACAATTTCTCTCCGTTCTCTCTGCTCTCATCCATCGCCCAGCAAACCCTGACGACAACCACCGCCCGCAATGCCGTCGCTGGATCAAATTTTAACCTCCCTGGTCTCCGAAGCCCTCTCCTTCAATGGCCCCATTGTGGGTGTAGCCCTAGCGTACGCCGCAGTGCGCACCCTCCAGACATTCAGCTCCTACTCCTCAGCCCTACGCAAGATCCGTAACACTCCCTCCGTCAAAGTCTCCGATCTCCGTTCAATCCTTGCGTTCGATCAGGTCGACCAGTCCGACGCAAAGCTTGTCTTCGTCCGAGGCACCGTTGAAGCCAAGTCCGGCGTACTCCCACCTCAAGGAACGAAAGCCGTCCTTGTTCAGAGAAGCCAACTGGTGCGTTTTGTTTGTTTGTATTATTCTATCTATTTTTGGGTCTCTTTACCCTGTACTCTATTTGGATGATACTGAATTGGTGAAATTGAAATTTTTGATCAAGTGTGTATTTCGCGAATGGATGGCCCTTTTCGGATGGCGGTCTCATGACAGGTGGAAGAAGCGTTTGGGATTGCCGCGGTCTGATATTGGAGCGTATTGGAAAGCATTGTGGAGGGCTTTGTCACAGCCAGGATCCAGGTCCTTACAAAAGGTTTTATTCTTATTCTTCTCTCTGTATTTTGATTTGATTGCTTATTTAATGGTTGGTGCTATCCGCACATATTTTTTTGCCTTCCACGCACCCTCTTAACTTAACTTTTGGATTCAAGATGATCAAATGACAGAATTTCACAAGTGTGTGTGGAAGGGATAAGGGGTTCATGCCCTTATTTAATTTGTTTGAACGTGTTCTTGCAAAAACATTTAGAATATCAGTGCTAGTTTTGATCTATATTTATTTGTGTAGTTTCCTTTCATTCTTGTTGACGGTGGTGGTGGTTCCCAAAAGTCAAGTTCTGATTGTGTTAGCGTGAATGTGGATGGATCAAGGCACCCGTTACCTCTTACTACAGTGTATCGGCATTTTCATCCTGTTGACGCTCCTCTCTTTTCATCCGCGAAGAAACTTTTTCGCCATGAGTACCCAGTGAGTTTTGCAAACTTTTAGCTCTCATTGTGCTTTTTTTTTTTTTTTTTTTAATGTATAGCCCAGACGATATGGCTACACACCACTACTTTACTACTTTTTTGTATATGAAACATATGAAGAAAAATTTAGAACAAGAGAATATAACTCGGGCTGTAGGGCTTGCTTTATTTTGCAAGCCTAGGATTTAGCCCACCTTAGAATGCTTGCTGGAGACGGGGTTTGACATTTTCGGGCCAAAAAGAGCCCTTTAGACCAATACTGGAGATGGTAGTGTTTTTAGCTTCTGTAGTGTTTATAATGTTTTTATTTTTATTTTTTTTGTTGATTTGGTTTTGGTTTCGAAGGCCAGTGTGCTTGAGCAAGTGAAGATTCTTCCCTTGGGAAAGGAAATTAGTGCTGTTGGTCTCTGCAGTTTCAAAAATGGAGTGCCGGAAGTCAAGTCCTGCAAGGATTTTCCCTATTTTCTGTAAGTGGCTTTGTTCTGAGCACATTCTTTTGAATCTTCAACTTCGCTGTTAAATTTTGAAAAGTCATTACTCTTATTCCGGCAAATGTGGTTCTCCAATTGTCGTTCCCAGTCTTTTTCTTACAGATTGAATTTCATATTTGTCTTTTTGTCTGTCAATCTATTATATATCATTTCTGCTCTGAAGCGTGAATGGTTGTGCTTTAATACTTGCTCTCTGTACTTTGATGTGCATTAACTGATTTTGTATGATTTGCAGCTCTGAGATGTCTAAGGATCAGATGGTTGTAGATCTTACAGCACACACACAAGTACTGTTATTCACTGGGATTGTTCTTGGTTCAGTATCAATCGGAAGTCCTTGGCTATTTTGTTGCCAGGTACAATTTTCCTTGAAACCTTAAGTTCTTATGATCTCATCTTGTGAGTTACTATTCAATCTTTATAGCTATTATATGTTTATAGGCTTGTCTAAGAGTCAGACCTTTTGTTTTGCTACTGAATTTGGATAATACGCGTGTAATTTCCTATTGTTCCCTTAATGCTGTACAATCAAGGATTAAAAAAATGTTGAATACTACTGAAATGTTGGCCGATGTTTCATTAAAAAATTGGCTTAGCGGTACTTTTTTTTTGGGGGGGGGAAGGGGAATCGCTATCTTGCTATGATAGCTACAAAGTTTCAGAGATATTTTAGTAATGTTGGCAATGCCAGTTAAATTTCTTTATTTTGATAAAGAATCTGTCATAATATGGAGATTTTGGAGAAATTTCGGTGCCAATTTCAATAAAACTTGAGCCCATATGGGATCAGTACTGATTAATTTTCTTTCTGTTCCTTAAATGCTTTTATTAGTTTCCTTTTTATTTAGGGATCCTTTGCCTAAGTGTTTCTTTTTCAGAAATATTTTTTTTGTCTGGCAGTCATGGTTTCGTGTACACAGAGTATAAACAAAATGGGATGGTATAGAGTGAATCATTTTTACACACTGGATCACATTCCAAGTGTGTTATTGTTAGTTTAGCAGTGTGCGTAATGCTACTCTTTTATTTTTTTTTCCCCTCACCTTGCATGCAAATTTCGATTACGATGTAAACTATTTTACAAAGTTTATACGTTAAAAATGGATGTTTACTGGTTTGAATTTGGAGTTTGAATTTATGTGTTTTATATCAAGTTTCCATTAAATTAACATAAAAACTTATCAATATTTCCGCGGATATTCATATCAATATTTCTCCATGTCCGGGCTACTAACCGAAACTTAAGTTGTTGTTCATTTACAAATATTTGTTTCAGGAATTGGAAAAGATGGAAAAAGTGGAAGCAACAAAGGCAGCTACTGCAAGCAATTCGTGCTTCTGAGAGCAATGTTGAAACTCAAGTTGAAGAAGCGGATGCAGAGGATGAAGTTCCAAGGCATCAGTTGTGTGTCGTATGTCATACGAGTAGAAGGCAATACGCATTCATTCCTTGTGGACATCTGCTCTGTTGCCAATCATGTAGTGCACTGGTCAAAAGTCACGTTTCATCGAAGTGCCCTCTTTGTCAGGTGGAAATTCTCGTTTCGGTACGAATTTATCAATCTTAGCATCAGTTTTTCTGGTCATTATCAGCGGTTAGTTTGCTGTTTCTATGCATCTTAAAATAATTTGTGAGATGTATAATGTTGGATGTAATATAATAATTTATTTTTTTATAATCTTTCTTTCTAGGACTCTCCTCTCTCTCATTCTCTTTGTCCTATTCTCTTTATTTCTTTATTTTCTATCAGTATCAGTACGTTTCAATTTGGCAAGCCAATATTAGTACGTTTCAACAAGACATGGGTACAATTCAAATTAGACATGGATAGACTGAGAAACACACATTAACCATATATGCAATCCTCTTCTTAATGGAACCGCCTCTTTGTTCTTCATGAATCCGTTTTGAGAGATTCCTTATTTGGGAAAGAGAATCAAGATGTTTCTTTTTCAAAGAAACAAGATGTTTGTACTGTTCAAATGGCATAGTAATCGTAAAGATCACAACATACAAAGCAAGAGTTCTTCTTTCAGCACTAAAATGAAACAATGATGGGTTCTTCTCCCATCAGAAAATCCTTAATGCTGCTACTTAATCCAATATTTTTATTGTTACAACATTCCTTAAAGCAGCATATCCAATTATTAGGTATACTTGTTGAACCATGGAACCTACATCAAGTTCTGCAAATCTCTGCCAAAGATAAACAGCATGAGGTACAGATAATGTACAAGTGAAGTGAGCTGCAACAGAAGAAAAAAATAAAAAAAATCATTCAAATTCAAAATTCAAGAGATAATATTGATGATTTAATAATTAATATCCATTAATAATCCCTTAAAAAGGGACATATAATTTTGATGATTTTATAGTTAATATCCATTTAATAGTTAATAGCATTAACATATTCCTTAAAAAGGGGCATAAATTTTAACGCGTAAAAAAAAACCTCAATCGACTAAAAACATAAAGTGGGAAATCAACATATAACATTTTTCATTTAAAAGAAATAAACTAATGATATGTAAATAAAAATAATTTTAAAATGCTTAGGTGGCCATTAGTCCAAGCAATTTGATCAAATCTTTAAAAGACACAAAAGGTAGAAAAAGAGTGGGACATTCTAATTTTCCTTAAATAGACGGTTCGGATCATTAAAATTCGATGTAATGTGGACTCACAACTAATCCCCATTTTCATAAAAAAAATATGAAAATCCCTTCCTTTAAAAGCAGGCTTCCTACATGTATATATATCCGTGCAAATTCCCGCCAAAACGTTCTGCCTTGTGAAGATGAACTTAGTTTTTCCAATGTCGTTGCACAAAATCTATTCCTTCGAATCCCAACTGATAAGTTCAAAGATAAGAACGGCAGTTAGTTACGAATGCGAGAGGGAATGCGCGACCGAATGCGAGAGATGCGAGACCGAATGCAGCTTTTGCAGCAGAGAGCATAAAGAATTCTGAAGGTGACAATTGGTGGATTAATCCCACATAAAGGAAAAGAAATTCTTGGTGGAAAGAAAGGGCTACAGGGACAACCATAATTTCCATCTAGATCCTTGACACTAAGCAAAATGGAGAAGGGTGATCATATAAGAGCTGGACGAGAGTAGTGATTTGAATAGGCCCATAATACACGATAGGCCCTGGATGTGGGATAAATTATTAATTGAGGGCCAACTTGATAGCCCAAATGGGCTGGGATCTTTGTAGATCTTTCCACATCTCTGTCTCATGCCACGATAGATAACAATATCACAATGGACTCTAGCTCTCCATTGCCTAGAAACATCTTCGAAGACTTGGGGCTGAAGAGAAACCTTGGAAAGAATAAGGGACTCTCTGAGTTGCAAAGGCCGGGGAAGAAACCAAAGTCAGGAGGTTGCTTAGGGGTTCGTGGGGGTAGAAAGAGAAGTCGTTTTGATGGAATGCCCTGTGGGAATAATGGTCCTCGATGGAGAAGGTTATCTTAGTGGATGAGGAGCTTTAAGATGAACCAATTACAGAGGACGATAACATCTGAGATTATTTAGATGGTGCTGTGAAAGTTGATATAGAGGTGCTCAATGCGCGAAGTGCGAGGAAACAATCCCAGGTGGTGGCGGCTGGCCTAAATCAGCTGCAAAATCACCACGATTAACTTATCATGGAACTGTCCTGGTCTCGGGTTCGAGCTCTACACAGTCTCATAAGAATGCATAGACCCTATGTGGTGTTTCTATCAGAGACTAAGATGCAATGCCATAGATTAGAAGGAGTAAGAAGGATGATGTGATATAGTTGGGGGTTTAATGTCCCTCCAATTGGAGCGGTTGAAAGACTGAGCTTATGGTGGCACGAGCCAATTAAAATTCAGGTTTTGTTGTCAACAAAAAATATTATTCATACATCCATGAGGGAATTTGGGAATCGTGATTGGATCCAAGCATCTTGGATTTATGGAAATCCATATCGCGTAGAAAAGATGGAGTTTTGGAACTAGCTCACTACGATTTTGGTGTCTGCAGAGTGTCCATGGTTTTGCGGGGGTGACTTAAATGAGATATTGTGGGAATTTGAGAAAACGGGAGGTTGTGATGATTTCCATACTAGACCACGCTTCCTACATGAATTCATGACAAATATGAAGCTGATTGACCTTGGCGTGGGCCGAAATATACTTGGAGAGAGGTACTAGGAATAACAGTCTTGTGCAAGAAAGGCTTGACCGTGGCCTTGCCAATGATTGCTGGCAGGTTTGATGGCCCTCAACCTGGGTCACCCATGGCACCGTGAGGGGATCTGGCCATTGCCATATTATTATCAACACGGAGCCTTCGAATGCTAAAAGGAAAAAATTATTTAGATTTGAGGTTTTTTGGCCAATTAAGGATGGCTGTCGGGAGGTAATTCAGCGAAGTGAGAATTAATGGTGTGAGGACCCATGTTGATAGTGGTTGCGACGCCTAAATTCATGTAAAGGAAGCCTTTTGAATTGGAGTAGGCAAAGGTTTCGTGGTGACCGAGAGGAGATTGGGGCTCAAATAAATCAGTTTGAGCAGCTTCAAAACAATTGGGAGGCGAATGTTAAGGAGACTCGATCTCTCTCTGGTCTAATTGATAAGTTGGAGGCAAGAGACAAATTGTTCTGGCGACAGCATTCCCGTGTTAAATGGTTGTAGAAGGGGGACTCTAACTCTAGGTTTAATGGACATTTGGACATAGCATGTCTCCCTGCATCTTCCCCAGTTTCAATCGATATTAACCTGTGGACATAACATGTTTTGATAACTTGAAGGTCATATAAAAGGGAAGCAATTAGAACTTGTGTTTTGGCTGTGTTTTTTTAACAATGAATTACTGGTCCCATAAGTTCTACAATTAATCAAATACTTGCACTTTAGGAGAATCAACATGCTAAAAATCCGATTCACTAAACAGTGTTATTTCAAAGAGGCTACTTCAACCCATACCATGCCAAAACAGATATAAGACCTGTATTATAAGCAGATGCAACACAGCAGCAGTTTCTAAACATATACAACGCAAATAATTACATCAATATCTCAAACCTCGACCATAATCAAGAGCAAGAACAAGGGTGTAACCTCATCCTCAAACCCCAATCATAGTTTGGAAGCGGTCAACAGTGGCCCAACAAAGTAAATAGATCAAAGACTTGGGTTCTAAACCTGAGTTCTAAACACATTAAAGAATTTAGTTTCTAAACTAAGTAAACATATCAAAAACTCAATTTTGAGATTCTAGACACAAACATAAAAAGCATCAAATCATCTGGTGTTAACCATTATTCAAAGGCTCGACTGAGGCCAGATCCTTCTCTATTACACTATGGGTCATAGTCTCAAAGCGATTGCCAGTGTCTGACATGTAATTCCATACATCTTCGTATGGTATAGCGCCGAGTTGGATGGCTTCAGTAACAACATAGACATACGTCGAATACGACGACCTTGGGCCACAAGAAAGTCCAGGGGAGAAACTTTGATAGCCATATTTGGAACAACACTTGCAACTCTAGCAATAACACCTGCACCTCCGGCAGTCACAACTGCACCTGCAATTCGCCAGTGACCTAGCATGTTCTGTAAGAACCTTAGAGCAAGCTGCAATGTTGAAAGAGATGCGCATCGCAGGTTACGAACCATTCTTGCGAAAGGTTGTGCTGTTCGTGCAGCGGAATAGGTTGTGTAGGACGTTCAGTAGGGAAAGCTAATTGAAAGGCAAAATATCCAATGACACTAGCAATAGCTACGATTGATACCACTGTCATTACAAACTAACATAACAAAATGAAAAGTCAGAAGACCATCCAACCTAGACATATCAACAAATGAATATTACACAAAAACTGAACAATTGCATAGAAAATGAATTACCAGAAACCCTGCGAGGAGAGAATGGTATAGCAAGGATATAGCGTTGGTAATGAAAGATACAATGGTTCTGCACCCATATATGTATAGCCTAACGAAACCTCTTAGCAAATGCCACATACCACACTTAAGTGGCAAGTGACACCAATTCCGCCTCCAAGAATCTAGTACAACACACAAACCCCACTTAGGAAACTTAATAAGACCTTATTATATAGGTGCAGAACCATTGTATCTTTCATTCCCAACACGTATATCCTTGCTATACCATTCTCTCCCTGCAGGATTTCTGGTAATTCATTTTCTATGCAATTGTTTAGTTATTGTATAATATTCATTTGTTGATATGTCTAGGTTGGATGGTCTTTTGACTTTTCATTTTGTTATGTTAGTTTGTAATGACAGTGGTATCAATCGTAGCTGTTGCTAGTGTCATTGGATATTTTACCTTTCAATTAGTTTTCCTTGTTGAATGTCCTACACAACCTATTCCGCTGCACGAATAGCATGACCTTCCGCAAGAATGGTTTGTAACCGTGACGCGCATCTTGTTCAACATTACAGCTTGCTCTGAGGTTCCTACAGAACATGCTAGGTCACTGGCGAATTACAGGTGCAATTGTGATTACTGGAGCTGCATAGTGTTATTGCTAGAGTTGCAGGTGTTGTTCCAAATATAGCTATCAAAGTTTCTCCCCTAGACTTCCTTATGGCCCAAGGTCATCGTATTCCGACGTATGTCTATGTTGTTATTGAAGCCATCCAACTCGGCGCTATACCATACGAAGATGTATGGAATTACGTGTCAGACACTGCCAATCGCTTTAAGACTATGACCCACAGTGTAATAGAGAAGGATCTGGCCTCAGTCGAGCCCTTGAATAATGGTTGACACCAGATGATTTGATGCTTTTATGTTTGTATCTAGAATCTCGAAACTGAGTTTTTGATAGTTTACTTAGTTTAGAAACTCAATTCTTTAATGTGTTTAGAAACTCAGTTTAGAAACCCAAGGCATTGATTTATTTAGAAACTGAGTTTTTGATATGTTTACTTAGTTTAGAAACTCAGCTCTCCACCGCGGACCACTATTCCCACAAGGCATTCCATCAAACTACTTCTCTTTCTACCCCACAAACCCCTAAGCAACCTCCTGACTTTGGTTTCTTCCCCGGCTTTTGCAACTTAGAGAGCCACTTATTTTTTCCAATGTTTCTCTTTAGCCCCAAGTCTTCAAAGATGTTTCCGGGCAATGGAGAGCTAGAGTCCATTGTGATACTGATATCCATCGTGGCATGAGACAGAGATGTGGAAAGATCTACAAAGATCCCGAGCCCACTTGGGCTATCAGGTTGGCCCCCAATTAATAATCTATCCCCATCTTGGGACTATCATGTATTATGGGCATATTCAAATTACTACTCCCGTCCGAACTCTTATATGATCACCCTTCTCCATTTTGCTTGGTGTCAGGGATCTAGATGGAAATTACGGTTGTCCTCGTAGCCCTTTCTTTCCACCAAGAATTTCTGTTCCTTTACGTGCCAACTTGCCGACGTCCCATCTTATATATGTCTTATCTCTTTTATGTTGATTTTAGATTTATATCAGCTTTTTACATTTTTTGTTATATTTATTTGTTTTTACATACTTTTATTTATTTTAACATAGAACTCGTTAAACTCCCGGTCGATCTGTATTTCAAATCGGCATGGAGTCGAACAGGCTCTGGGCCGTAAAACTATCCGGATCGGGACAGATCAGTCGGATCGTGTGGGATTCTTAATCTACTCCGATCAGCTTGTAAAATTCCTTATAAATATAGATGCATAATAACAATTTCAGTATCTTGCAAGAACCGTAACAAACCTATCTCGCGCATTTGCTCTCAAGAACCCAATGAACCGATCTCGCGCTTCCGATCTCCTGCAATTGACAAGGTAGATCAATCTCCCTCGCCTCTCTCTCTCCCTCTCCTGATTGTCAACTGCTTGCTATTTGATTTAGGTTATTTCGTTTTCCTAATTAGGTGTCTGCAATTGTCGTTGCTTTTTTGAGTTGGCTGACATCTGCTGTTGATGCGATCAATTTCGATCCACTAAGGCATAAGTAACATTACCTTTCCTTGCCAAATTGAATTATTTTCGAACAATTTCTTGTTTTTGATTAGGGTTTAATTTTGGATTTGTGTTTTGTTGGGTGTTTGTTCCTAAAATTGGATCTTTCTTTAATTCTTTCTTTTAATGTGATATCTGCGTATCTTTTTCAACCCTATCAGATTTAACTTAATATTTAATTTAGAATTGTTATCTCATTGAAACAGTTGTTTTCAGGTAAAAAAATTGGACTTAATAGTTGATTTTTTTTTTTTTTTTTGTTCATTTAGATGTTTTGATCTATTTTCTTTCATAGTTCAAAATCTTCAGTCATTTCCTTAACGGTTCTTCGATTTGCTTTTTAAATGTTTGATAACTGCATGTTTTTTTTTATCAGATTGATATCTTCAGAATCTTTGATTGAATTGTTTAGACTTGTTTTAACTTCATATCTAAGTTGTGATAAGTCTCTATTTATTAGGGTTTAGTTGTGTTTCCCCTATTAGGTTTAACTAGCAATGGTGCCCGCGTGATGCTGCGGGTTTTAAAACCATATTAAACATGGAGAGAGTTCTAAATACCTATGATATACAACACTATTTGCATTCATGTGGAAATCTATTTACAACGATATGTTCAACAACTAACATATATGTGCCTATATTGTAGTCATTGGTTTCTGGTGCGAAGTTCACGGATTTGCAGAACCAGAAGGGAAGAATTGCTGTACAAAGTTAAATCAATGGTATATACTACTACAACTATTAAAATTAAAACAAAATTCAAGTTTTTGTATTGAAATTTAATTGGGTTTATGCGATAATTAATCGCTCAAACAAATAAAATTGATAAAATGAATTGATGATGGTACCTCAAATTGTCCAGAATTGCTAACGGAGGGGATGAGCTTTGCAATGTGAAGGGATACATCATTGTCATTGTTAATTAAGTATATAGTAACTTCTATAGAAACTTCAATTACATCTTCATGTTCCACGTTGAAGGACTCCTTTTTGTGTTTAATCAGAAGCGTACAAACACATTGTTCTGAAATTACAAAACAACAATAAAATGAAGATATTACAGCTTTTGATAATATAATATAAAAAATTGTCTTAAAGAAGATATTAGATGCTAATCTCAAAAGAGTCTGCTACACCTCCTAAAATTTGCAATACTAATTTTGATCAACGAAAAAAAACATCTATCAAGAGACAGTAAAATAGTAAAACAACTTAATTTCTTTAAAAAAAATTGTGCAAAAATTTCATGAAATTTTGGTAAAGATGGAAAAGAAAGGGGTTAAGACAATCAAGACTAATGAAAATTATGATATTGTTTTAACATTAACTCAGTTTGATCTTGATCACCAGCATTAATAAAACGAATGACTTCAACTTGGGCAAGCAAAAAATTAAATTAGACGTAAGCCAAGTAACTTAGAATTTAACCATATCAAAAAAGCAATGATAATCAAACTAACCTCTTCTTTTCATATGAAGTAGAATCTGTTCTTTATTTTGCCTTTGTGAAGAATGCAACTTTCACCCTCTACACACAAAATGCATGCATTGCAAATGGTCAGCAACAATATCAAAACTATACATATACGGTATTGTATATGTATCCTGGAATATATTGTATATGTATCATATACTATATTGTATATGAATTTGGACATAAGGTATAAAGATTTACTAACATAATTAAGCTTAAATTTATCAAAAGAAGTAATTACAAATTGAAATCAAACGATATTATAGTTGTTAAAAAAATCTGGCTAAATTTTACAAATAGCATTATAAATTGCTAATAAAAAATAACACTACTGAAAATACTCACTACTCAAATCTGCAATCCTATTAAAAACACATCACTAAAAATTAACTCCAAGGAAAGGGGGATTAGCAAATTATACCTTTTAAAGACTTGAAATTGTTTTATCTATATCTTGAGCTGGCCCCGCTAGATTTGAATCCTCAGTTGACTTAGAGGGAGGACAGACATGAAAATAAGTCACCTTGCAAGCAGAGACTAAATGCTTTTTTTTCCTTTTGATCACCCAGGTTGTTATTCGACTCAAGAAATCCTGAAACCAACCACGCAATTAAATTAAGACCACAATGCACTAAAAATATCCCAAACGATCCCAAATTTTGGAACTGCTTTAAACCAACCTACCTTGAAATTATAGCTGCTTGAGAAATTTGCTTCAACCTGAGAGAAGCAGAAGAAGAGTGCCACCCGTCCCCTTCCTTTCTACGACGACGGACACTCATACAGAAGGGGTAAATCCGTGATTTTACTATACAATACATAAAAAAAGTCGAGAATTGTTAGCAAATGAAGGGTAATTGCGTCAATCAACTAACACTCTTGAGTCTAAATAAAATGGCAGCATGAGATCACAAAAGGTTTTGAAGCAAGGCACCATTTATTAAACTTCGAATCATATAAAAGAGAAACTTAACTCTCCTGAAAGATGAAACTATAGTATTGTCATCATTGACTTAATTAACTAAATAATAAGAAATGCAGAGTAGCGTGTCAAAGAACCATTTGAACGTTGAGCACACTTATTAGTAGCCTAGAGATGGTAAAGCAGGTTTCCATATGAAGCAAAAGAGAAGTTCAAAACTACTTAACCCGTCGTGAATAAAAGCCTACACACACTGAGGGAATAGCCAAAACTCTCAATACCATCTGCATCCATTTATCAAAACGTTTTTTGTTTGTCCTAATAAGCAAGCCTCAAAGGAAAAACTAAAATTATTTACCTTGAGCACAAAGGGTTTCGAAAACTGCACACAAAAGCCCGAAGAAATGTAGAGCAACATCTCCTGAAACAAAAAACATAAGCAAATCATACACTCAGGTGACGAATCTAACGATATAAACAGAACACTCTAAATTAGATAAACAAAATTCATACGCAAATTCCATCTGAATATCGAAAGTTGTCAGCGAGATTCTATCACCTAAGCAAATATCTCCATCATCATCACATTCAAATCAACTTTAGTTAATTGAATTAACTTTAATGATTGTAATAGGAAGTAATGATTATGTCCAACCTTCGGGACAACATTTGTAGGCTATATCTGCAAAAAAGTACTAAAAAAGTAGAAAAACTCACCAACGAACGCCAGACTTTAAAAAAAGGGACCCTGATAAAATCGAAAAACCAACAAAATTCGTATCAACAGAAGATAAGATAAGGTGTAATAATGAGGCTACATACCTTATTATATACCTTGAGCACAAAGTGGTTCCAACGTTGCATACGAAAGCCCCAAAATTCCAACATGACCGTCTTCTAAAACTGAAAAATCGAATCAGATCAGATACCACACTCAGCATCCATGCGCATACACAAAACCCCCAAAAGTATAAACGCAAAATTTAAACACAAAACCCCCAAAATTATAAAATCAAAATATAATGTACTACCCCTTCTCTCCCGTTTTTCTCTCACCCTCTGCAAATCACCTACCTCCGTCTCTCCCTATACACTCCCTACCTCCCTCATTAAATCAAAACTCTCAAACCCAATTCAATGCCTCATCAGAACCCATAAAGTATCTAATTAATTTTTTACCCAAACAAAGAATTCAATTTTTAATGTTTTAAAATTGAAGAAAACAAAACCCACAGCTTTGGGGAAAAAAAAAACTCCCAGATGCAGGATTCAAAGAACTTACCAGAAAACATTAGCCTTTTTGGCTAAAAATCATCTTCAATCCAAATCAAAAGGCTGAAGAAGCTTAAACTGCTTCCGGTTTTTTTTAGCGAGCCAAGATTTGTCAGGGACAGAAAAACCTAAAAATATCCCAAACGATCCCAAATTTAGGGCTTTAAACCAACCTACCATGAAATTATAGCCGCTTGAGAAATCTTCTTCAAATCAGAACAGAAGAAGCAGCACAGACTGCCTTTCTTGAAAAATCCAAAATTTGAGTGTAATGAGAGAGTAAATGAGGCGTGGGAGAGACTGAGAGAGCAATTAGTGGGGTGTAATGATGAGTCTGATGAATTGGTTGGGTGACGGAAACCAAAGGAGAATTCTAGAGATCCACCCGAGAGAAGCAGAAAGAGTGCCGCATGTCCCCTTCCTTTCCACGATGGCGGACACGCGTAGATAAGGGTTTAAAAAATTAAGAAAAGACTAAAAGAAAGACTCCAGAGGAATGGGTGGATAGAAAGGGCAAATTCGGAATTTTACTGTACAAAAAAGACAAAAAGTAGTGGCTGAAGACTAACTTGAGGGGCGTTTTGGTCCGCACACTGCCCTAGAACAGTAACCAGAAGTTTGAGTTTTAGTATATATAAATAAATTTATGCGATTTGGAATTGTTATCACATTGAAACGGTTGTGTTAACTCATAAGCATATGATATTTAAGGTGTGACAAGTCTCTGTTTTTAGGTACTACTAGGCAAACATGCTTTATTCTTATTTTGCTCATGATATAATTTTATTGTCTATAAATTTATTTCAATTTTTTTTCCTCGCCTAGGATGCTTCCTTAATGACCAACATAGCATAGGACAACTTTTAGTGTTGCAGTAAACAACATTTCCCATTAATTTTTTGGACAGGAAGCAATTTGTGTTTTTTCTTATCCAAAGAACTTTGTAATATTTTTAATAGACGAAACAGATTTCTCTGTTGATATTTAAATTTGTTTCAATTTTTCAAGGTTGGGTATAATTTGCATTGGCATTGATAACTCAGTTTTTGACTCAAACATTGTTTATGAAGATTGAAATTGCGTAATCTTTTATATGGTTTTCAATCCCGTGGCAACGTGCGGGTACAAATTCTAGTTTGATCTAAAGGATCAAAATTTGAAATGGATATGGATGCTTACGGGTAATTGTTGTAGGAAAGATAGAAAATTTGGACCATTGGGTTGTATGTAAATTCCTTTGCACAGAGTTTAAAAAATATGGCAATTTGTGGCATATGTTGAATGACATAGTTGAAAGATTTAAAACTGATATGTACAATCAATTTTTATGTCTAAAACTATAGCATTAGCCAAAGATGTTGGGTCTATATACCAATCATGTGTTATTAAAAGTTTATCGACCTATATAGATGATTTCAAACATGTGATAACAAAGTTCCCTATAAGTTTGCTGGAAGCGGGAGATGTATTTAGTTTTTGGAGGTAAGACAATTTTTAACTCTATGAGTTTATCAATCAAAGAACTCTATTTGCTTCCAATTGCTTTATTGCTAGCTGAATCTAGTTCTTCTCTTCCTCTTTCTCTAATTGAAATTGAGTTATATAGTGAAGTTTACATAAGAGTAAAAAATGAACTTCTTTACAATAATTTATGATGAAAATCTATAAGTACCAATCAAAATTATATAGGGGAAAGAAACCTTACCAAATTTGAGGCACAAATGATCAAACTCTGAAGCCCTTCATTTCACAATTTTTTTCCAACGACCAAATAAACTTCTAAAAAAAAAACCTGTAGAATCCAGAGCAAGCATGACAATAGAAGGATATAACAAAAATGATTTACCAAAATATATATAGGACAATCACATCTTTATCTATCCCTATTACAAAATTCAAGATACAAATGGGGGCAATAAAAATAAGGAAAACTAACAAAAAGTCCTTAAAAACTTTAGTTTTAACGAAAAAGACAAAATAAAGGTGCAATTGAATAGTACTAAGAGTGACTTTTCAAGGTAAAAATGTCATTTTCGTTAAAAGTGAACAGTACCGGAAGTGTTTCATTAAAGTTCCCATAAAAATACTGTATATAACATTCTCTCCAAACAATCCATTGTCAATATTAGTAAGTATCGTTTTTCTACTTGCTCTTTATTATATATTTGTTCACATTCTACCATTTTGGAAAACATTTTGCTGTTATAAACCAATTTGGTTCATTTTTGACAATTTGATATTTCCAATTCGGTGGATATGTTTTATCGAGAGATCTGGCCACAGTTGACTGTCTATGCACAGCTTTCAAATTAGTTAACAAAAAAGAAAACAAACGCGTGTTTAAAACTTGAAAAAACAGACAAACTATTGACCTACACACAGCTTTCAAATTGGTTCAGCAAAAACAAAGCCATCACATTCTTTCAAATTTTGAGCCAACTATTTTGTTATCTAAATCTTACCCTAAAACAGTTTAAAGATTGAAAAGTTGCATAAACTGTTGTAATTCTAACACAAAGACAACCTGCAAAACAAACAGATGAAAAAAAAAACGATGAGTAATAGAACTCACAGATCATAATATACAAAATTCCTTAAACACAACACAAATTACCATGTAAGTCCTGAATCAATTAAAAAAAAATCCAGATGAGGTCAATCCATTCTTGTCTTACACTCTTCTATCTTTCTTTTGTTTTTCTACCACAAATTATAAATCTTTTTCCCACCCTTGCCACTTCAATAGTATCCCACCTTAACATTTTATATCTTCCTTGCAAACCACCGCTCTTAAATTAAAAACAACTATTATTTACACAGTTTATTTAATCATTTTTTTTAGTATAAACAGTGTTGTCCTTGATTGAATAATAATGTCAAACAAAATCAAGATAAAAATATAACCACCCAATAAGAATGACTTACCGAATTACATCACAATAACAAAAGGTAAAGAATAAATAAAAAGGCAAGTAAATGGCATTATATCAATTGATTGAGCACCTAATTTGACTAAATCCGAAATCTCAGCTATACACGAAGGGCAACAATGCAAAAAAGAAAAATCATTATTTCCCCAAAATCAGAAGACAACCGAGTTATCCAGCTACACTTACGATCCAACCACATAAAAGAAATCTTCTAAATCGGAAAAAACTCTCCTTTTTCTTACACACACACACACACACACACACACACACACACATATATATATATTTATAAAATCATTCTCCTTTTAGCTACTTCAGTAATATGCAAAGTTAGGGACCTCAAGCTAACCTTCCAATCCACTATTTCATTATGCAAGTCTGACCCCAGTGTTTTAAAATTGCAAAAATTAGTCCAAATCACAACCCAAAACCCAAACAAAACCCCAAATCTATTTTTCTTGAACAAAATTATTGGGTTTTTTTTTAAATTATATTCAAAGTTTTTTCCATTTTTAATCTCTTTTCCTTAGAATTTTCTTTTATTCCAAACTTGGTTTGTGAAATTATTAGGTTTTGATTACCCAGAAATATGAATTGTTAGGTCCGAATTAATAATTCTCTAGAGGCGAAAACATGCAACACTTTCTTGCAAAGGACAGATCAAAAGAGCAGAAAAATATTTTGAACCCAACCAAATAGAAGCAGAAATTAACAATTCTAACATATAATCGAAGAACAGCAAAGCAAAAGCCTCAAGATTTTGAACAAAAAAACCTACAAAGAAAGAGGGGCTGTGATTTTAACACTTAAACTTGAATAAAACCAAATCCACAAATTTGGAAAAAGAACTGGCAGATGCAAGAATCGAATAGCTTACCGGAAAATGATGAAGTCACAAAACCACTGGGATCAACATAGAAGATAGCGAGAGAAAACAAACGACGGCAAAAGCCGAGAACTAAAAAGAGTGAAAGAATAACTGGACTTGAGTTTGGTGGGTGAATGAGGATGAATGTAGGGATATAGGGTTTATATGGACAAAAAAAAAAGGATAAAGTTCTAGACAATGTCATGTGGCACTATGTGATTGCTTGAAAATCTTATCGAAATCTTGACTAAATTATTTCAAACAGATTGTGACACATGGCACGTCAGGATTGGTTGAAAATCTAATCAGAAATCTATTCACAAAATAGTATGTTTGGATAATGACACGTGGCGTGACAATATTGGTTGCTAATATAATCGGAAACTTGGCTAAATTATTGTAAACAGATACTGACACGTGGGGGGTTGGGATTGGTTGAAAATCTTATTGGATCTATCCACAAAATAGTTCTTTCGGATAATGACACGTGGCGTGACAAGATTGGTTAAAAATCCTATCCGAAATTAAAATTCATTTATTTATTTATTATTTTATTAAAAAAATTAATAATATTTTAAATGGACTAGATGCCAGCACATTTTGTAAAGGTGTAGATTGTTTGTGCCAACACATTTTTTAGACTTTGTGCTAGTGCATTTTTTAGGAATGTAGATACATTTGACAAATTACTGTTTATCGGAGTCTACCACTGTTCATTGAAATTTAAGTAGGGCTAAATGCCAGCGCATTTTTTTAAGGGTGAGGTTGCTCTCACAGACTTACACAGTAGGACACTAAAACCTCATTCCTCTCTATCCGCAACCAACAATGTCAAGAATCGAAGCCTTCTAAAAGCTTACGGCCTGCTCCTTGTTGCATCTTTTCTTCCACAATCCTCCACCACCAGCTCTTCCACAAGCTCCTATCAGAGAGTCTTCTCATGTCTGTACGAATTCTCTCCTATAAACTTGTGGAAACTTGTTCTTCTCATGTTGTCCATTTACCCCCTTTATCATGCCCAACAATCGCTTAAATCTTCCGGTATGGGCAGTGAGGTCTTCACCTTCTTAAATGTTGTTTATTCGTGGTCTTAATCATTATCCGAAATGCATATGATGTTTTTATTTCTCTTTCCCCTCCCTTATTTGTTCCTGATTGTTTCATTTTGTCTTAAACTATTTGGTTTTTTTCCGGTAGCTTGTATTTTTAGGACCTTGAACATGATTGATGATGCATTTAATGTCTTCTTTGTAGGTTTAAGGAATATTTCGAGAACGGATCGTAGGTATTGCTCTTATATCACTCGGATTCGGGATTCATTATTGAGGAGAGTATTGAGATGGGAATAATATCTGAAGCTCTACAGCTATCACTACTTGATAAACGGATTTGCCAATCTTTGAAATTGACCCAACTCATTAAGATGATCTTTTAAATTGAAAATCAATCAATGTGATCTTTGAAAATGAGTAGTACAAATCAGTATCGTCATTCCGTTTGAAAATTTGTTAGTATGTTGACGTGACATATTATAGACCCTCACTCTGAACGAGGATTCTCTCTTGATCATCTTTGTGAGGATTCTGAGGATTCTCAAATCAGATCCGTTTATTATACATCATACGGTCAGTTTCGTCAAGTATTATTCATATTTAATTTTAAATAAAATATTTAAAATAATTTCTGACCACACGATATACGATATACGATAAACGAACACAGTTTAAAGATCCTCAGAATCCTCACAAAAAGAATCTAAAAAGGATCCTCATTTCCCCACTTCAACATTATAATGCCATGTACATTAGAGAAAGTTTATTCTTAATTAAAATAAATAAATGTAATTCAAAAACTTTAAAAACTAAAAATTAATAAAAAAACAATAAAACTAAAGTTATCGTCGTCTTCACACCCAGCTATATTTTTTATATTCGTACATTTCAAATTACTTCTCTTACATTTTTTTAATTTTTAAATATTTTCTATCCATCATTAACACGTGATAAAAAATTATTAAAAAATTAAAAAAAAAAAAGTAAGAAAAGTAACTTAACATGCGTAAATATAATCTTCTGCTTAACCAAAAAGCAGCCCTTGTAATTTTGGAAGAATAAACATCAAACCCAGACGTCCATTTGTGAACTACAAGGTACAGAAGCTTGAAAATTGAAATGCGAGGGTGTGGGGTGGGTGCCGACGGCGTCAAGGCGAGTTGGAGAGACAAACTTCTGAATGTTCAGAATGGATTACAAGCTCTGGATCTGGAAAATTTCAAATGCAATCTTGATGAGTGAGATTGGAGTCCGATTGTTGGTCTTAAGCTTGTAGATTTGATTAATAGCTATTTTGTTGCAATTTTGAAAAGAAAAGAGGATTTGGAATTTGTTCTTACTGGAGGACCTAGGCTTATCTCGGGTCATTACCTAGTAGTTCACAAATGAAGGCCTGTGTTTGATGTTAATTCTTCCGAATTTGCAAGGACTGCTGCTGTTTGGGTTGGAAGTAGATGGCTGGGTGCGAGGAGGAAGACGACCATTACTTTAGTTTTCTTGTTTTTTTTTTATTAAATTTTTTGAAGTACATTTCCCTTTTTTAATTAAAATAAACTTTTCCTAAAGAAAATGATCATCCCCGATCCTTTCCATCTAATCTTCATAACCTACAATTTTGGATCCTTAAAATTTAATCCAACGTTTAAAGTTGTTATAACTTTTAATGGGGCTCTCTGTTTGTAGCCGTTGGATAAAATTTTAAGAGCTTGGATTTGTAGGTCATGAGGCTTAGATGGAAGGGATCCGGAGAGGATCCCTTTCCTTTCCCTAGGCCACGTCAGCACATTAACAGATTTTCTAATGGAATTCAAACAAAATAACTACATTGATTTGTACCACCAACGTTTAAGGATCACATTGATTGATTTTCAATTTCAGAAACCATCTTGATAGGATGTGTCAAATTTATGGACCATTTGTGATAAAAACCCTTCAATTAAATCAAAAGTATGTTTTTACGGGTGTAGTGGGATTGGCTAGAGCGGATGTGGTCGCCATTGCAGTGCAACCGAGTTCAAAACCCTTTCTCGCGTTCAAGGTAGACTATTGTTTGTATAGAAGAAAAAAAGTTTGATTTCATTTTTTAGTTTAGGTGAAGCTCTGGTAGTGAAAAATGAAACGCATCTCGGAAATATTCAATTACAGTTAGGGCAGTTCAGTCTATTCTCGTACAATCTCTTGACGGTTCATTCATCATTCATGGGAAAGACACGAACATAGGAATAGAAACAACTACCAAAAAGAAGGGGATTAAAACATGAACAAGAGGCATCTACTACAAGTGATTGGTTGCTGCATTTGCTCCATGCATCATCGGTAATTTAAGCATTCATTGAGGAGTCTGAAACAGCACCTTTCATTTTATACTTTTTTATCAATGTTTAATGAAATAATATAAGAAAAATTAGATGAGCTTAGCCGATTAAGACCTAGGTCATCCTAAGAAAAATTAACGAAAAATCCTCAAAAATTTTAGTTTTAATGAAAATGACAAAATAAGGGTGTAAGTGAATAGTAGCAAGAATGACTTTTCAAGGTAAAAATGTTATTTTCGTTAAAAGTGAATAGTACAGAAAATGTTTCATTAAGATTATGTAGATCCTATCCTCAAAACATAATTTCTACTCAACAAAAAGATCTGCAACCAATCGAAGGCATTCCGCCTCGCCAAATCAACACTCCAGATCCAGTTCATGAGTAGCCACATTACAAATGTCTTGTGCCCGACTCAAGACCCAGAAAATCTCCCTCTTTCCCCTTACGAATTTTTCGATCAAAGAATAGGCCTAATGAATGACTATATTTGAATGAGAAAGAATGATGGGACCTAACTTTCTTTCTTTTCCTTAACTATCTACATGTTTCTGGATCTCGTCGATCATTGATGCGAATGCCACTCTCCATTTCGCACTTTGTGACTCGCTGCAGAATACTCTCTGTAATGCACTTAACTCCTCAGAATCCGCCTTCTTTAGTAGTCTTCGTAGTACCAGCTGCATCTCTTCAGTTAAATGATGATGTTCCGCCGATGAACAATCCTGATCTGGCTTTGTCAAACTGACACCAAAAACCTTCGTCTCCATTTCTCGTAGACAGCAACTTTGTTCGAATGAATGCTGCTTGATTTCACTAAGCCTGCAAGACATTGACGGGACCATGCGCCTGTGATTCCAGTACTCCACGCATTGATGGTCAGGATCAAGAGCCTCAATAGCCTGGAAGAAACATAGTAGGGTGTGAGATACTGGATTAAATTTTTATTTTTGGATAAAGGAGAAAGAAATTTTTGCTTCACCAATGACATAAAAAAAGCGAAAGTATAATTTCATGCCAAGGAGATTAGTTTATCACAGTAAAAAGTAATGACATAAACAAAGAGTTACTGTACCTGAGCAATGGGTTGGGAGAGAAATCCAAACATTTCGAGCCCATTAATGCTCTGCAATGACTGCATATGGGACAGCCCATTTTCCCCTACACTACTCCGTCGGTTTATTTCTTGATGTAGTCTCTGTAGTACCATTTCCCAGCACTTGTCTGCCGATATATTTGCAAAAACCTCACCTGGGCAATCTTCCAAACTAACCTGAAATTCATGACAGAAAATTGTTCAGAAATGCACAAACTAAATAAAAATTAATGATTTTGAGCCTTTAGAAGTGTGATGGTGTTTTATGTTCACTAGTTTCGCATAGTAAACTATCAATTCAATGCAAGTATTCAACAAATTAATAATCAGCTGTAACAATGAAATTTACACTTCCCCAAATCTCTCACTTTATTATTTTTGGAGGTCGATAGAGACATACCTTGAATAGAGGACCAAGAAGCCCAGCATCGACAACTTCTGAAATATAGCTACATACTTTTGTTGGGTCAAGCACACTATAAAACCTAACTCGGCTTCTATAACCTGCAAAAGGCAACCATTATTTAGAAAGAAAGAAAAATTAGATGAATCCACACAGGAAAGAAAAGGAGAGCAAAAAATGCAACCAGAAGAAAATTATTGAATCCAAATAAGCATAGCACTATAGCCAACATACCTTTTGGATATATTGCCTGCTTACTGCACCACAACTTCCCAGAGACAACAGCTCCAAAATCTATAGGCTCAACAGAAGGACTCAACTCTTGTAATTGATAGCTTTGGTCAGTCACATATATATTTACACCGAACAACTTATTGCCCTCACTCGCACAGTTATTCCTGATGTCCCTTGAACCGGCAGGGTAGTCATTGTTCAGAACTGTCAGAGCAGATACATTACAGTCATCATCAACTTTCATCATGTCTGGTTCTCTGGCTACATCTGAACTACAAACTTTCTCTTGATTAGACGCTGACGTAGAGGTCTCCTCCTCAATTGTGACAGCCTTGTTATCACAATGATCAGATGTGTGCATTGTCCTGCTTTCATGTTCTTCAGACATGTAATTAAGATTCAGATCAAAGCACTCCATCCCCGTCTTTGCTTCATCATTCTTTACCAGAATTTGATTGTCATTTTGACTATCCATAGTGATGGGAGACATACTTAAACTAGAAGATCCATGCTGTGACCCTGACTGGACAACTGCAGAAGAAACCTGACTGGACGAACTGCTGGATGCATTTATGTTCACCTTCTCTTCTGAAACCGGGCAGCAAGGTGAAGTTTCCCTTGGATCACAAGATTTGATTCTTTTACAAGGCATGCCACGTTCTTCATCCAGCTTAGCTGTACGTGTATCAGTACCATCTAATTCATGGTATTTGGATGCCCATAATTTTATGGCCTCTACTTTCCCTTCCAATGCTTCAATCAGCATATTTAATTCATTGATAGTGTGGCGTTGAAGGACATATCTTTGATTGATGTGACATGAACAAAGGAGCTTTGCATGTTTGATACATGAAAATCGGTCAGGAGAGCATTTGCAGCTGGAGGCAGATAAGTGCAAGTCATAGAAGCAAGAAAAACATTCTCTCTCATTGTTCAAATCAAAGTCTCTTTCCATCTTTTTCAACTTCATACAAATTGGAAGACGATCTAGTCTTTCCTCCTCCATTCGCACCCGTGTCTTAATTGCTCTGGTGAGTAGACCATCTTTGCCACATACACTTTGCCAGCTCATATTTTTTGTAGTTTTCTTTCCAAGAACTGATTGTTCCCAGAGGGCCTGTACAGCTTCCCGAGCTGATCCCAGTAACAATTTGTCGTGTGAGATTGATGTCTTGCGACACTGCTCACTGTAGAGCTCAACTGCATTTTGCCCATGTTCTAACCAATCAACAGGGGCCACGTTCACTGCCTCAGCACAGTTAAAACCACAATTAAATCCAGAATGATATGCCCGTGGGAAGGTAAGAACAAACTCCCCAGAATGCTGGACGGCTCGATGCACAGGTACACCTTCAGACTTTAAAACTGTAGGAGATAGTTGAGTGACCTGAACAAAGATGAAAGTTGTAATCTTAGTGCCTGAGATAATAATAACAACTTTAAATGTCAGCATGTGAATAAAAATCTCCTTACCAGTTCATTGAGTAAATCAGGTTGTTCCTCGAACAGATCAGGCAAATAAGCTCTCATTGTACGTTCCAAATCGGTAGCATGGCTTCCAGAGACTCCATACCATACTTTTGGGTCACCCCAGTGCAGATAATTTAGCGAATAGAGGTGGTGATCCTCAACATGCTGTTAAAAACCACAAAAAGAGAAGACCAAATAAGCAAAACAGTAAACTGAAATATTATGCTTTTTCTAAAACACAAGAAATGAAAACATCTGGAGGGCCCTTTTTTCGACCATCACAGTGGCATCACATACCCAACAAAATGAAGAAAAGCACATCCCAACATAGAGCCATGGGACTAGAACTCCTGAGATATCGCTTGCTTCAAAACACAGTACAGAACCGGGCAGGCGTGGGAAGTTATTTAGATTCCAACCTGACAATGCATACTTATCCGAATTACTTCTGGTTGATGATGCCTTAGGAAAACCACTTCCAAATACTCCTGTTTCCAAGTCAGCTCCATAGTAAACCTGAAATGCGATCAGAAAAAAGCCATTTGCAAAGATAAGAGTACATTCACTAATCACAAAATGAGTTAAAGGTTCTGAAATTTATAGTTACATACCTCAACCTCATCTGCTGTTGGTGTCTCAACTATTCGCCAGTATTCACCTTCAATTTCCTCGACAGAGGGTTGCAATGTTTCGCTTTTAGTTTCACCATAAGTTGAACCCTCCTTAGCATCCTTTGTTCCGAAGTAACTCTCCTTAAAAGTAGCAGCATGTTTCTGAAACTCTTCAAATGTAAAGTCTGATCCTGAATGGAACCCAAACTTCTCATCAGCCTCAGTAGCAGCATTAGCTTCTGAACGCCTTCTGGCTCCCATTCTTGAGTTCCTCTTTCGTTTACGCTTCCGACTTCTACTTTTCTTTCTCATGGCCTCTCTGTTTTGAAGCAAGTCAACTTGCTGAATGCGCGTAGAAAATTTGGCATGTTCCCACATCTCTTTCTCCTTAAGAGTGCAGGGAGGGATCCAGGAAGGTGGAGGGACAATCCGGCATATACCATAAGATTCGGCCAGTGGGCGGATCTTTGCTATGTAACCAAGTGTATCTTCAAACTCCTAAAAGATGAGAACACATGTAATTAAATAACCTTATAAATACAAAAAATCCAATGATACAAAAATTGCTGCCATCAAAGATATTATAAAAGGCAATGCAACTATCAAACAAACAAAAAATAGAATGAATACCTCAATAGTTGGATAAAACACAGGCGCTTCATCAATATCAGGTCTGCATGCTTCCTCCATGTTCCATCTAGCTGATATCTGCAAGAGGCCAATAATGAAATCATTAAGGATCACAAGGTAACAGAAGAAAACACAAAAAATGTGGACTATCTTGGATTTGATAGCACAAATGTTTCTTCCAATTTATTTCCCATGTCTTTCTTTTAATTCATAAAGTACCCAAAGGCGCCTGTGTGATGTTATTCAAACACAAAACTTACAGAGGTGAATGGATCACTTCTTAATTATTAAATGAATGCTATGGAACACGATAAGTAATTATAAAACGGTCTGTACCTTTCGGATTCGAGGGCTGCCAGAGCCCTCAAGTGTGTTATCACTTTCGTGGTTATTCTTAGAAGAATGATCCTGCAAAACATTTTGTGTAAGAATAAAAAATCAATTGACAGCTGAAATTTACATTCGTTGACAGACCAAAGGCATTCAGTTAAGACAAGCAACACTGTAATACAAATGATCCTTCAAAATATCTATTTAAAACCATTTACTTTCTCAATTTCTCTGCCTATAATACACGTTCCGGTGTAGACAAGCACATTACAGTAGCAGATTAAAAAGATCACAACGACGATATGCAATAGAAATCAGAAATTCCAGATGCACACAGGACCGCGCAAACAAGCAAAAGGGTATCTTACAAAAACCGATTGTCAAAGCAATCAATCACAAACTTGAAGAAAAGAAAAACCGATTATGTATTAAATTAACCAAAAAAGGAAGAACAGTTAAACACATGCTATAGATTTTACAATAGAGTTCTTTTACAATATAAGAAACAGATAACACAGATCTGCAATTTCTTGCAGGTTAACAACAACACAGATGATTTCGATAACATAAACAGAAAACACAACATCTTATCCGGCCTGAGATTGAAACCAGACACATACATATGACATAACTCCACACACATATATGACACAATGGAAAGAATACAACATTAGGGATTAGAAATCCAACCTCTTTCTGCTGAGATTCGACAATTAATTGTAACTGTTCCATTGACGGTAAAAATTTGTGAAAATCCTGATTAACCAATAATATCTGCAAAAGAAAACCTTTTCACTAAAATCAATACAAAATCAATCAACCCAAAAACAGCTTTCCTACTTCTCCATAACCAAACAGAACTTAACCAAAAGAACACAAATTTATGCAATACCTAATTCACCCAAACCAGCAAAGGGCATTCCCCAGAAACAATTTCTTTCCACTTTCTGATCAAACAAACACAAACCCAATTGGCATTTTCACGAACTGAACCCAAATCAAAACGAAACACCCAATACTTTTTCAATTGCATGCATCTAACCGCCCAAAAATTCTTACAGTTTTGGTAAATTTAAATTCTTTTCTACACCCCAATAAATTCAATTTTTTTTTCCTATTAAAGCAAAAAATTGACTTGGTAAACAAAACAAATATATTTGGAAAAGATAATCAAAGAACAAAAACTAAAAACAAAATGATTAGTCTATCAACAATGAGGACGAAAGCAGACAAAAACCCAAGACATAGTTTTTCAGAGAATTAAATGTATAGAATATTAAATATGGAGAAAAAGTGGATTGAAAAATCAAGAGGGTACCCAAAGAACACGCCTAAAATTCCCAGGTAGGGTGATGACTTGATGTGTAGGCAATAGGTATACTTGTGAATATATGCAACCAACCCTTCCTCCCCTGTAAGCACCTTTCAGAAAAATAAAATAAAATCTTGGTATTTTAGATATAGTTTTTTTTTTTTTTGGGATAATAATAGTAAGAAATAAATAATAGAAAGAGAGAATGAGGTGGAATAAAGAATCCGGCTTGAACGAGGAAGGTGGATCTAATACGAGTGGGAAATGGAGAAAAAGAAAAGAATTTGTCTTTTTTTTTTTTGGGTGTTTTTTTCTAATTTTTGTAAATATTTATTTATGTATTTAATTTAGAGGGAGAGGAGATGGAGAGAGGGTCAACCGGAGTTCGTCAACCCGCACAAACGCACGCAGATTTCACGGTGAGGAGTCCAACACTCCATATCCAAAGTGCAACCAACCCCACAATAACTTGTTTGCAAGTTATTCGAGCTAATGTGGGCCCTTCTCACTTGGTTAAGAAAAGTGGGACCCTATCACACAAATGCACCATACATGAGAAACATTTTTGGTATAATTAACGTTACTTTTACATAATGTTACTAATTTGTATTAGATTCAAATATAGAAGGTATTTTTACACATGATGACTCTTACTTGGGTTGTTTAGCTTAGTTCTTGGAAAATACGATAATGTTACATTTATAATATATTTGTACTATCTTTTTAATAAAGCTAGAATTATCAATACACGTTAGTGTCATTTTTATTAAAAATATAATACAAACGAATCGTAAAAATAACATTTAAAAAAATATATAATTACACATGATTCTATGCATGTTTAATTCACATAAGTTGTAAATGCGTTTGTACTAACATCTTTTGGTTTAGATCTTAGCTTACACTATCCTTTTTTTCTTATCAATAGTAGTTAGATATTTAATAATTGCTTGCACGTGTGGTGCTCAAATGTTGTTTAGAATAATTAATGTGATAAAGTCCGAATTAATGGATGATATTGTTCAAATATATGTTTTTTTTAGTACAACGATATATTTTACACTAAGAGTAAGGAGAGTTCGACTAAACCACACAATAGGCAACCTAATTTGGTATCAAATTTGTCATCTACGTAGATTCGAATCTAAGACCTCTCACTTACAATTGAAGAGGAATACCACCAAATCGTAGTACTTAGTGGCAAATATATGTTATGATTTCGCTTTTTAAATAGGATAGTACTATTCACACACCTATTTTTATGTTTCACACATATTTATCGTGTCAAGTTGTACTATAATTTGAGTCACGCCAAGCATGTGACACACTTAAATGAGCTCGAGTCACATAACAGGGCTTTCCGAATGGGTTGTGGTGTGGAGGTTACGGAAGTTTACTAGCCTACATGAAATTATGATTGTGTAAGACTTTGGATTGCTTTCGGAGCACCAAAGTCCAAGCCCATGATTTTGGCTTCACTGTGGGAAGGCTTGAGAGAGCAATTTTTGTCCTTACGCTTTCCCTTACAAACTAAGATATTCAGGAACCAACCAAACCCAAAGTTGAGCCAACCAAATTACGTTTTGACCTTGAGCCGTGCGCCTCCTTTAATGAGTAGAAGAAAGTGTATTTCCCTTCCAAGCTCTTAGATCATCTCCAATGGTGGGCTGAAACTTAAAATTTCCCTTTTTTCCCCCCCCAAAATCCACTCCAACCCATGACCTAAAATTAACCTAAAGCCTAAAACCCAAATGGAGGGCAAATACCGGCCCAATTTTAGGCCACAAAGCAAAATGGGACCCCACCAACTGAGACTGAAACCGAGGCTGTGAAGCCCACTACCCACTCCATACTCGCCTACGTGCTGCACACGCTAGGCTTTCTCAAAATTTTGTACCAACCCACGTGGGGTTGTTCCCCCACTATCAGACCATCAAGTAGCTGTTGGGCTACTTTTCTTCATTCAATGGTTCCATTTAAATGGGTCGTTGGTTAATCTAACGGTCCAGGTTCAAAGTAATTTTTTTTAGGTTTATATTTATATATTTATTGAATCCAACGGCTTAGATCGAATATAATCAAATCTAACGGTAAAAAAAGGAAAAGATATAAGTTTATGTGGTTTATTAAATGTCATTTGTATTAAGTTCATGTGGTTTATCATGATTTTCATGTATTGATTTAGTGATTTTTCAAAATTTATCAGAATTTAAATATTTTTAGGTTAAAATGTTTATATAATTAATTTAGGATAGTCTACATAATTTTTTTTTTAAAGTTAATTTAAAAAAAAATTAGCCTTAATTCATTCTTTGATAATTTCAGGCTAAAATTTTAGGCCAGAAGGGTTGGAGCAGAAAAACTGTTTTTGGGCTAAAACCTAAATTTTCTGGGCTAAATATTTTTAAGTTTTAGGTCACCATTGGAGATGGTCTTATAGGGAAATGAGGGAGAAAGCATAGAGGAGTGTTGCCAAAGATGGAGTTGTACTGTGGGACTTTGCGCAGGAAAGTAGGAACCCGGGGCATCGTGTTCAACCTATGCTTCATGAGGCTACCAATCATTTGCAATGTTATACCAAAAAGAACCATGTAGCTGTAACCATAGAAAGAATAAGGGAAGACTTAGCAGACTTGGAAAAGGAGAAGAAACTAAGAGATTCCCCAGCTGGAACTTGAAGCGATCCCTACACCTATAAATCAAGAGCATTAGCACACAAGAAATGGGAGAGACGCACCAAGCAGAGCAAGTTATTTCTAAGCGTTGGAAACCCAACCCACGAGTTTTAAACCATCCCTTCACTCTGATAAGCTTCCTTACCCCCTTCAAAACCATACAACCAAGAATAGCCTCTTTCACGTCAAATAATAGGCTTTTAGCTCCCACGTCGCGCATCATTCAAGCAAGTTATAATGTATTGTGACTACTTAGTTGTTCCCAATGTTGGTTAGCCTCTTAAAAGTCGTCAGAAGCACTTTATCAATGTCGAAAACATTCGATTATCGTTGGAAGCACTTTATTAGTGCCAGAAACATTCAACTACCATGGGAAGCATTTCAACAGTCATCGAAAAAGCTTCAACAGTCGCAAGAAGCACCTCAACAGCTGTGGGAAGCTCCTCAAAGTTGTCGAAAACACATCAGCCATGGGAACAAACTAAACCGAAAAAACTTCAAAGAAAACCAAACTAAATCGAACCAAACAGTAATCTAGTTTGATTTTCAATTTTGACAAAAAAATTGAACTGAACAAAGCTCAACTCAACCCAAATTTTCATCCCTTGGACCCAAAGTTTAAAATATCCACAAAATTGTCAGAAAAATCAAAAGATCGATATAAAAATTGGGTTGCACTTCACCCTATATCAATGTGATAGAGAAAATATAGGAATTTTGTCGATACTCATTGTAGATTTCGAATTTTTGAACTTTCTTTGAAAAAAAATTTCTCTAATTCAACTAAGTTTTAAGTAGTTAATATACTTACACCATTATAAACTTCCGTAAGTATTAATAAGCTGATATACTCACATCATAACAAATTTCCGCTATTGTTAATATACATCCATCAAATTTTCATACATTTCCATGTCAATATTTTTTTCAAACACTACATGGACCTTATTTTCTCACCCGTAGAGGTAGACGACATTAGCCGATTAGAACCGAGCTGTCGGTTTTACAACATAAAAGAATAAGGTTGTCCGTTGAAAATTCTAATGTGAATCCGATATCTCCAATATTCCAAATTTCCAACACATTATTGACACAACGACAATCAACGATATCACAAACGCAAAGAATTTCAACAAACGACCCAAAACTTTATTCTTCCCTTCTTTTCTTCGACATTTCCTTATCGTTTCCTCCGTCTCCAGAAAGCCCGCGTCTTTCTTTGGATTCGATTCCGCGTTTTGGATTTAATTATAAAAAAAATTCCCAAAAATTTCATATTTTGGTCTCAGATTTTACCTTTCCTCAAACCTCAGGTATTCATTTATTTGATTTTTTTTTTTTTCGATGAATAATCGATATTGCGTTGACTTGGATTGATTGAAGCTCATTGTTTGGGATGCAGAAATTCGATTACGTCGAATTACAGCTCCGATTGCTCGAGGGGTCCTGAAATTTGAACTTTTTTGAACGAAATCAGGTATCTTTTTATCTGATTTTACTTCTTTTGTGGAAACAATTGTTAATTTGAATTTGGTGGTTAATTTAAGAGGCTGCTTTTTCCTAATTGCTTGCAATGGTGTTAGTGAATTGCTGCATATTTGGGTATTTCAATGCATTTGTTATGGTTTAGTTCCTCTGTGTTTCGTTTGGGCCTCGGCGTTAGGTTTGAGATTTTACCTGCCAGAACTTATTTAGGCTTGAGATTTTGTCTGCCAGAACTTATTCAGGTTTTGATCTTTTTATATAGAACCCGCCTTGTTCATCGATGTTTGTGTTTATTTGGCTGAAGACTTGATATGCTTCTGCTTCAGTTTACGTGTAGATTGTAGGAGGTGGAAGTTGTCTGAAACATATAGGAATATCTCTTTTGAGTGTAGATGGGAACCCGATTTTCCAGATGGATAATGAAACAGCCCCGCTAATATTTCTTGGCTGTCCGGTATAAAACAACCTCATCTGAGTATCTAGCATCGAGAGCCAGAGATCCCACGTTTGAGAAATTTATGTACAAGTACAAGAACCTTCTCAAAGTCATTGCTGTGCAAGATCTCATCCTTGCAAACCCCCACGACCCTGTTGTGTCCCTTGATTTTCTCTCCAAACTCTCGCAAAAGCTCCATCTCAACTGTGGTGCAGTTGCCTTCCTCCGCAAATACCCTCACATTTTCCACATTTACCATGATCCCATGAAGTCCCAGACCTTTTGCAGATTAACTGACAGAGCCGTTCAAATTTCTAAAGACGAAGCAGAGGCTATCAACGCCTCGTTGCCACTTGTTGTTGATCGATTGGTTTGGCTTCTATCAATGTCTACTTCCAAGATGTTGCCACTCCACGCCATTCTTAAAGTTGGCAGGGAACTTGGGCTTCCTGATGATTTTGAGGACACTGTAATATATAAAAACTTCCATCTTTTTCAACTATGTGATGCTCATGAACCCAATACTCATAACTTAAAACTGGTTAATGCAACTTCTGACAAGTTCGTTGCAGCGGTTGAGAATTGGAGGTAGAGGAATATTGCAAGGAGGGTACCAGTGTTGATAGGGCTGAAATTCAGTTTAGTTTTAAACATGGATATCCTCCAGGGATGAAGTTAAGAAAATATTTTAGAGCCAAGGTTAAGGAGTGGCAAAAGTTAACGTATGTGGGCCCATACGATATGATGACAGAGAAGAAGAGGTTGTCTAAGGCCAGAATGACGGCTGTGGAGAAACGAGCAGTTGCAATTGTTCATGAATTCTTGAATTTGACGGTAGAGAAGATGGTTGAAGTGGAGAAAATCAGCCATTTCAGGAAATGTTTTGGATTTGATTTGAATATAAGGGATTTGTTCTTGGATCACCCCGGGATGTTCTATTTGTCAACCAAGGGAAAGAGACACACTGTTTTTCTGAGAGAAGCTTATGAGAGGGGGTGTCTGATTCACCCAAATCCAGTTTATAATGCTAGGAGAAAGCTTCTGGATCTTGTCGTTTTGGGGTGTCATGGCTTGTTTATTGATGGCTCTAAGTCTAAGCCGAGGAACCTTGCTAGTGACAAGGAGGCCAAGTCACTGGAACAGCACAATGAAGAAACCTGTAGCTCTGATTAATTAATGCAGTTTTTCCTTCCTGTGAACCTGATAAGTTTATGACTTTAATAGTCAGAAACTTATTCAATTTTGATCTTATTGCGTGACTGCGAATGTCAATGATTCATTTTATTTGGCTCAAGAAATGATGTGAGTATTACTGTGTGGTCTTGAAGGAGCAGCTAGAGCTCTCGCTTTTACTTGGATTTGAGTTTTGGTGTTTCTCTTCTATATTTCCTGTGTTACTCATATAAACCTTTAGTTAAATTTGTCTTAACTTATGACACACTTGGCTTATATACCTATAAAGTAGGAGGAAGTGTGGTAGCTTATTTCTAAAGATGGGAACGTCTGCACCTATTGGTGTTCCCTTTGTAGTGTTACCATCGTTAATTAGTTATTCGAAGTCATCTTTGATTTCATGATCAATCACAATAGATGACTTGCTTCAAGAAATTCAAATCTTGCGTTGTAGATCAGGAAATACTGGAAGAAATATTAAAAAAATAAGGTTGCAATCTCTACCAACCAGGAAATAAACTATCTTCAACACATTAAGGTGTGCATGTGCAGTAATGCTGGGACATCTTGTAGTCATGAAACACAAAGTAGTTTCTCCTTGATAGATCTTCAAATCACTGGTTAGGATTGTTTGCCTCAATAGTTTTTGTTTTCTCTTTATACATATATCTCTTATTTCTGTGAATGATGCAATTGCTTGCTTAATTACCAAGGCCTGACTTGTTTTAAATTTAAGTATTTATGCTGCGTCAAGGATGGGGACCTTATTCTGTATAGAAGGGGTTTCTGTCCTTTCCACCCGTAGAATTGTAGATTATCTATGAGTGTTAGGATTGGCAAGTTCTTTGAAGACATTAAGACCTCAAGATTGGTTCGATAGTGGGAAGACCTCAAGGTCCTCAATTTTCATGAAGAAAGTTAGTTCAGTCTTGTTTCTATGATTTGCTTTTCTAAATTTTTTTTTTTTTTTTTCTGAAAATAAAGAAAAACATATTTTGGGTAAGCTTTAGGATTTCTCTTTATAAGCTTTCTTACTTCTTTTATGCATCTTAAAATTTGATAATAGATATTTTCAAGTTTTCAGGTTTCCTTTTCGAAAGTTTGGTCAGTTTCTTCAGAATTTGTAATGGAGTACAGCACTGTGTAGCATATTGGCCATATAGTAAAAGATCAGAGTTGTGGAGTTCTATAGTTTTCTCTAGTCGTATTTCTGTTGGTAACGCCTCATTGTGTTTGTATGTTTCTAAAAATTGCAGCTATGCAGAGCCAGCTTGTGTGTAGTGGGTGTAGGAGCGTTCTTCTGTATCCTAGAGGAGCTACAAATGTTTGCTGTGCATTATGCAATATAATCACCCCAGTCCCTCCTCCTGGTAATGTCTCTTTTGCTTATCCTTTTTCTTAATGGGTGGCAGAGCAAAGGATAAATATGCTATGTGCTATCATTATAGGACTAGAGACTGATAGACTTCTATCTAACCTAATTAGCATTTGTTGGAGAGGTATAGGTTTGGTCACAAAAACGTTTGTGCAATGACCTTGCAGGTACAGAAATGGCTCAACTTATTTGTGGGGGTTGTAGGACGTTGCTAATGCACACACGTGGGGCGACAAGTGTGAGGTGCTCCTGCTGTCACACAGTGAATCTTGCTCCAGGTATAATATAAGCTCCCTTGCGTTTAAAAAAAAAAAAAAAAAAAAAAATACTGAAGTTTCAATTGTCAAGTCATGGAATTTCCGCATTGCAATCTTTGCTCCCCTGAAAATGAAAAAAATATATATTAAAAGGGAAATTGATCACTCTTGTAATCTGCCACATAGTGTATGGTGTTCGTGCAGCCTTAATGTTTTCCAAATTAAACAATCTTAGGTAGACACCATCAGTCCCATGATACTGGTGAGGTATTTCAGTTTAGCACTGCATCTGTGCAGGCTTATGCTCGTGTAACTATGAATCCATTTCTGCAAATGTACAGGCAACTCCCAAAAGCTCATTTTGTTTTATATGCTTCTATTTGGAAGGTTCTAGATTATTTTTAGTTTACTAACATAAAAAAACTTCATCTCTTTATGTAATGGATAGAGAAAAATTCAAAGATTGTAAGTTTGAAGGAAGCAGATTTCACCTACCTTATGAGGACAGTCATTTTGAAACTTCCTTAATTCATCAACATGTCTTTGTATTAAATGAAAGACCATAAGAAAGAATTCCCTTTCTTTTGTTTTGCTGTTAATTTTTGTTTCAATTATAAGGAACATGGCAGCAATGCTCCCTGTCAATATCGGAGTTTGACATTTATGTTCTTTTGGAGAATTGGAATTACTTACTGAAATTCGTCTTCTGTGTTGTTCAGTAAGATCGTAAAAAATCGACCAGGATATTTTATAAATGCAAATGTAGAGCTTGTTCTATGTTGGATTACTGTTTTTACTTCCTCAGCCTGCTATTGACTTCTCTTTTGTGGGTCTTATTATTGCAAAAATAGCATCCAGTCAGGTTGCCCACATCAACTGTGGAAATTGCCGGACAACACTTATGTATCCGTATGGAGCTCCTTCAGTCAAATGTGCAGTCTGTCAGTATGTTACAAATGCTAGTGTAAGTATAGATGAACCTTCTGACTTCTGAGTGCATTAGAATGTTCTGTGTCATGCTTTAATTTTGGCTAAAGATGTTTGCTTACCACATGTTACAAGGTTGTTTTGGATTTACGTGTGTGCAACAGTTCTTGGATTGTTTGATCGGTAGTTTGAACTTTTGATAAATTCACTAGATGTTACGAATCCTCTTGTTGTTGTCTTCTTGGGGCCTACATACAAACTGGTGCCTTCTATTTTCCGTTATAATCTACACATGATTACATTTGGACGTATGCATCTTGCGTTGTGATTGAGTGTTGATTTGAACATTTTACAGATGGCCAATATGAGGGTTCCAATTCCAGCGCACAGACCTAATGGGACAACCAATTCAGGAATGGTGCCCTCTACTTCAGCAGTAAGTTCTTAAAAGCATACTATTTATAATTCCCAGATGAGACCGCCTTTGTGGTAGTACCATATGATGCATAGTGAACTCTATTGAATTTGTTTCTCTTGTATTTTCTCAGAGCCAGACCGTCGTCGTTGAGAACCCTATGTCTGTCGACGAAAGTGGCAAATTGGTAAGCTTGTCCGATAATGCATCCGTGTATATGCCTTTGTTTTCTTTGAAAATCCCTTTTTTCCTTATTGAGCAAACAAAGGATGTCCTGATTATAATACCCTTAATCTCACAGGTGAGCAATGTCGTCGTCGGTGTCACAACGGGAAAAAATAGCACAGCAGGATTCTGAAATCTATCGCAGCTAGTTTTACTTGGCATGGACCATATCAAGTCCATATTACAGATTACTTGGAAGCTAGACATGTTCAAATTGGCTGTATATTTTTATTGGAGTTGTTCATAAACATCTGTGCGAGAAACATTTCAAATGTGAGGCGTCGGACAAATGTATTACGTCACCGTGTGTTCCAATTTTCGTCGAGTGACTGCCGGATAAAGTATATATATATATTTTTGAACTACAAATCCAAACTGTCGCACATTTGTTTTCCATGTAAACAATTTATTTTGTTTAATTGTTGTTATATATGGTCTGCTGGCTTCCTCGATGCAATTCTAAATGTAGTCGATTGTCATCGGTAAATGACGTTCGCACTGTGGACATCTGCCGATGAACAGACCTTTATGTATATGCAACTTCGATTAAGCTAAACTTGCATTACTGAAAGTATTATTCCAGAGTGCTTATCATTTGCCTTTCTGTTCAAGGTTGGCAGTTTTGCCACTCATAAAATCGTAGTTGGCAATCCCTCGTTCTCAGCAAGCGACCCTTTGTCACGGTGGAGAAGAATGTTGTCCCTTGCATCATGGCATGGATTCGAATCTCATCGGCTAACTAATCTAACATCCAATTTTACGAATCTATCGTTTGACAAATGAAAAAACGTCAATCCTTCCTCATTCTAAATATGCTCTTTTTTACTCTTTTGACTAGATTTGGGAGTGTTCACAACATGTTTACGTACTTGAAATAAGAAAGAGTCATGAATTGTAAAATTACGGAGTGTAATGTGAAAGTCACATAATTTATTTATGTATGTGTTAGTAATCGTATGAATAGTCAAGAATCGGAATAATTTGAACGCCCATGTTTGTTAAAGACGCTATCAAAAATTTTCTTGCATTCATGAAGCGAAAAGCCAATGATGTAGAGAAGAATGTCAAAATTGCTGATGTGTTTGTGCAAAGACGCATAGAAGAAAGTTTAGAGCAAGGTAGTTCTGCATTTGTTGGCCCAATTTATCTAAAATTCTGGATGACATAGGCAGATTAAACCATGATGCATGTGGGGTTCAAAAGTTTTTCCAAACTACCTGCACCCAACAGACCCAAAAGTTCGTGGATTGTTAAGACTAATCATAGACGCTTCACTTACTCAACAACTGGTTCCATTACTATAAGAAGCAACAACGTACTCACTTGTGTATCTATCTATCTATCTCAATCAACCATGGCTCGAGAAAATGCGCAGAAACTCGAGGACGGGACAGAATTAGTGCCGGTGAGAAAGCCGATGGACTGGACTATTGTCGTACTGAGGGTGGTTGCGTTTTTGGCCACGGTTTCTGCAACCGTTGTGATGGCAATCAACAAAGAAACCAAGTCCATTGTGGTTGCCACTGTTGGGACTACTCCGTTAAGCGTCACTCTCACAGCCAAGTTTCATCACACTCCTGCAAATGTGTAAGCCTCACAGCACTCTCTTTTTCTTTCTCCCTACTATGCAAACAGAAATTAGAGAACGCAGGCAATTTTCGCGATTGATGAACGATGCAGGTACTTTGTGATAGCTAATGGAATTGCCAGCTTTCATAACTTGTTCATGATGGCTGTGCACTTTTTTGGAGACCATACGTTCAAGGACAAGGGCCTTCAACTTGTAATCGTGGCCATTTTAGACATGGTAAGCAAACCATTGTTTTTTATTTTATATACAAGCGATATTTGGGGAGGGGAAGAATCGAACACAGATTAACAACGTCGACTAAATTGTATCATCGTTGTGTATGCATTATGTAGATGAATGTGGCCCTATTATCTTCAGGCGATGGTGCAGCAACCTTCATGGCACAGCTAGGGAAGAAGGGAAATTCGCACGCAAGGTGGAACAAAATATGTGACAAGTTCGAGAAGTTCTGCGACCATGCCGGTGGTGCCATCATCGCTTCCTACATCGGGCTCCTTCTCTTGTTGGTTATCACAGTGTTGTCCATCGTCAAACTACTCAAAAGAAATTAGAGCTGTATTGATACTAATCCCTTTTAATGTGTCAAAATGTATTGATTTGGATGTGTGTTTGCTCTTAGTGTACAGTGTTGTTGAATTTACTTCACCCTTTTAATTCTGCTGTGCCATGAAATCATGCATTTGGATTGAATGATTTTGCCATGTCAACATGGTATGGCATAGTTCTTAAGGAGAATAATAATGTTTTAACCTAATAAGCAAGCTGCGTACTATGAACTTAAACTATCTAACATTTACGTGCGTGTATTGAAACGAGAAACTTTTGAGTGTGATCTTTACATTACACAACCACAAAATCATTTAGTTTACCCAATTCACAGGCGAATCATTGCACCCATCCGAAATTGACTTTAAAACTGATGACGGGATGAGTTGTGAAGTTTAAGGGTAAATCATAATTGGTAATCTTCCTAAACTTTCACAAAAGGTATAACAACTTGTTGACTTGAAAAAATCCAGATTCATGCTTTCAAGTCCAGTAAATAATGAGTTAAATATTTGATTATAATTAATTTATAAGCTATTGACACTTTAAAAATCTCATTTTGCACTCAGAACTTTCTATAATTAGTTAGAAAATTACACTTGTTAGGAGTGTAGAATGAAATTTTTTGAATGCTAATAACAATTCTCTTTATAAATTGAGACATTCAATTGTAGAAATTTTTTAATGTACCCGAAAGATAAACATTGTCATAATACAAATGGAGAAACGACACTAAAAAAATATATCATTTCTTTTACTAATAGTATATACGACGGACCAGCTTGTGTTACGAACACATAAAATAATTTCTCTTTGGTTGGCCCAAGTTTGGATTAATCTTACGCATCATCATAAATCCTTCGCAAGTTTATAATAAACCGGCCCCTCGACAGCATTCGTCCTCCACGCTTTTGTCTCAAATCTGCAACTGTGAGAAACCAAATCGAAATCTCTCAACAATGGCAGCAGGGACAGCAGGACCGGACCACCTCTTCAACCTCCGCAACAACTTCTACTTGGGAGCCTACCAGGCCTCCATTAACAACAGCGACATTCCCAACCTCTCCCCCGACGAAGCCGTCGAGCGCGACTGCCTCGTCTTCCGCTCTTACATCGCCCTCGGCAGCTACCAGCTCGTCATCAATGAGATTGACGCCTCCGCCGCCACGCCTCTCCAGGCCGTCAAGCTCCTCGCCCTCTACCTCTCCGGTCCCGATTTCAAGGTTTCGATCCCTAGATCAGAACTGTTGAATCGAATCGGATTGAATTTGATTGCATGGGCGATGAGTTGAAAGGTTTGGAATTGTGCAGGAATCGGCGATCTCGAATTTGAAGGAGTTGTTGGCGGATCCGGCCGTCGGAAACAACCCTACTCTGAGGCTGATTGCTGGGACGGTCTTCATGCATGAGCAGGACTACAATGAAGCTCTCAAATACACCAACGCCGGAGGCACTATGGAACTGTACGTCAAACTTTCAACTTTGCCTGACCACTATTCTGATATTACTTAAAAGATCATGTTTTGATTAAACGCTGTAATCAAATTTGAAGTCTTTGCTGTTAGATTTGCTCGCATTGTCATTATCTTTCGAATGAGACATAACCCAAAACACTTGACATTTTTGTTCCTTTAGCCTGATTGATTAATGATTATATTGAGGCTCGTCAGCTTTTTGCTAGCTAGTCTGATTAGATTAAGTAAGGAAGCTAATTACAGGGTGTTAAATAATTTGAAAACCTCCCTAATATGTGAGTTGTGAACTTCAGAAACCAATTCCCTTTGCATTGTAAATTCTAGATGACTTATGCATTCTACGTCTCGCCCTCTGTTGGATATTGTGCTTTTTACCTTAGAAATTAGATCTTTGATGGAACTTTTGCCGAGGCTAATGATAAGTTGTGCCTTTACTTGTTAATGCATTACCATGTAATTGCATTTTATTTAACTGTTGAAGTAGAAGTAGAAATATCATGCTGATGATTTTGTCTCAAGCCGGATACATGCTGCTTATGCTTTTGCAGGAATGCATTGACTATCCAGATATTCCTTAAAATGCATAGGTCAGATTATGCTGAGAGACAGCTGCGGCTCATGCAACAGGTTGACGAGGACCACACACTAACTCAACTTGCAATGGCATGGTTAAGTCTGGCAGTGGTAATTAAATATTTGTTTTCCTTTCAGTTCCCCTTCAAGACTAGATGTCGTAGTCCATGTTTGTAATTTCACATTCTTCGAAATCAGGGTGGTTCCAAGATACAGGAGGCATATCTCATCTTCCAAGATTTATCTGAGAAGTCTCAGGTTACGAGTTTGATCCTCAATGGAAAGGCTGTTTGCTGTATGCATATGGGAAACTTTGATGAAGCTGAAACACTACTTCTTGAAGCACTGCAAAAGGCAAGTATCTAAGTGATATATTGGTGGCTTTTTTAGAGCTTTTAAGGTGTCTACAGTTTGTATCCAGTCAATTAGAGAAATTTCACAAAGTCGAAGGCTTACTAAACAAAATTACATGATTACATCCTTATTCATCTACTTTCCTGTTTAAAGTTGCGTATTTTTGTGATAAGAGTGACATTGGATTACGCATATTTTTTAAGACTTGAGAGTGATAAAAGTGTTATTTGATGTCTGTCACAGGACGCAAAGGATCCAGAAACTCTAGCCAACCTTGTTGTATGCTGTCTTCACCTTGGAAAACCATCTTCTCGTTTCCTCAGGTAAATCACAAAGGCTACTTCATACTGCCGTTATAACACAAAATGTCTTTTACGCATTCATAAATTTTGTTATTTCGTGATTTCATAAGAACGCTGGAATTATAAAATTATATATGCCGCATATCACGTGCTGTTGTAGAATATAATGCTCAATGTTTGGGATTTTCTCTTTTTCAGCCAGTTGAAAATTGGTCACCCAGATCACTTGCTCGTCAAACGGGCCTTGGAGGCAGAACAGAGCTTTAACCTAGCTGTTCTTCAAGCAGCTGGTTGAAACCTCAGTATTGGTTTGTACACGAGCGGATTAGTGATATTGTATACTCCTTACACCTTTTACGGCGTCTCATCTTTTGATTTGGTATTTTGGAGACAGATCAAATCTTTGGGTTTGATTGCTTGATTTTTCAACGATATGGAGTCAGAGTTTGTGATTAATTGCACTTGCTTCCTTTTTTTCTAGAGAGTTATGTTTTATACATTACAGTAACCTTTTTGTTGGCATTCAATGAAAGAATAGTTCGACAATAAAAATGTTAACAATACTTTTTTTTTAATCGTTGTACCACGGACATACATCCGGGCTGTTTATGGCAACTCTCACGTTGAGTGAAACCAAAATACATAGTGGCATCGTTTTGTGAAAGGTGCCATATGGATGATAGCATCCGTCCTCGGATATCCTTTTGTGAAAGATACCGTATGGATGATAGCATCCGTACTCAGGTTTTGTAGAGCTACTTGATTAGTGACGCTCTTATGCGGGATTGGGGTATCGGCTTGAGCATTTTAATGTATTCGGAAACATCCCAAAAACATTTCTCACCACAATCCGGAACCACATTTTCCACCATATCCCAGCCTTTAACATAAAACGTACGAAGAGAAGCATCGGCAGCAGCAGCAAGTGATCCGACATTGTTCCGAGAACAGAACGAGAGTAAATGGAGGAAAAATAGAGGTAACTTGAGTAGCAAGAAACGCGATCGGTAAGACATCCCAACGCAGGAGATAAGGCACTCGGAAAGCACTCACAAGGTTTGCCGGCTCAAAGAGAAGACGGTCAACCGAAACTATTACAAAGCCAAGGCTTGAACAACATCCGCCAAGTCCTAGCAAAAATAGGAAAGCTAGAAGAAAATAGTCTTTTTAGGAATGTTTGCAAATCCAGTTGTGATTAGCTATTGTTTATATGGCTTGTAACTAATGCTTGACATGTGCCCCAGTGATGCACAAGGCGGAAAAAACACGTTCGGATTAAGATAGGTCAAAAGTTCGATTCCTTCTAACTTAAGTGGAAATACAAAATGAAAAGAGCACTAGTGTTGGATACCAACGGAGAAGAGAGGCACGAAGACATGATGATAAAAGGCTATACCGTTCCTGGGCATCATTATTGAACTATGTCATCATTCGGATACATCGACTGTAACACATAGGCTGCTGCTCTTTTTTCCGGCCACCGGATGATGGCCTGCTACTACTACTAAAGAATATAAACATATATAATATAACAACAAAATTAATATTGATTCCAAACCTCTCTGACTCTCTTTCTTTTTCTTCTCATTTTGGTTAAAGGGGATTCTGAATTCCCTCATCTAAATGAGCTAAAGAAGTGTGGCTTGATTCGGCACTGCAACGGATACTGTCTCGATCTTCAGGCTATGCAATGCCGTGACCATTTCAAGAAGACACCGCCAAAGGGTTTCCGTTCAAGAAGACGTCACCAACGGGTTGGTTCCGTACCCATCACGATGTGCCTTTTGCCATCTCCACGCAACCTGCAAACTCTCTTGAAGGTTGGTGTGTTGAGCGCTCCAGTTGAGTTCACGTAGGATCTTAGATGGGTCACTGAAGACTTCAGCATAGTCACCAGGCCTGCGGGGAAGGAAATCAACTTTTAGGTCCACCCCGGTTGCCTTCTTACACGCCTCCACGAACTCCTTAACTGAACTACCTGGTAATAGACAGCCGTACATATAGTGTAAGAGAAAATTCTGCTATTCACTACAAAATCTTTTGCACAATAAGAAATGGAATTAGAGTCGTATAAATTTCATTTATCCTACCTTTTCCAGTTCCAACATTGTAGATTCCCACTTTACGGCGTTGTGCATGCTCAAGAGCTTTAACGTGAGCATCAACCAGATCAGTGACATCTATATAATCTCTTATGCAAGTTCCATCAGATGTTTTGTAATCAGTACCTCGAACCTGCAAAGCACTTCCGTTACTAAAATTCCAACCCCTCAAAAAGAACAGTGGAAACAGCTGATATGAGAAAGCTAACTGAAATCGTCAAAATATACAGATCAAAACCCAATCGTTTTCTTTTTACTCTTTATGGCAGGTGAGAATTGGTATGAAGATTTTCAAATAATTCATGCACTGTGTCCATAATAAATACAAAACGATAATCATAACCTTAATAGCCAAACCTACAACTTGATCTTTACCACGGATATATCTGTTAATTATGCAACGACTTACCTTTAGCCCAGGAATGATACCACGAGCTGCATCAAAACAAGCACCTGATATTCGTCCATGTTCACGAAGTTCAGGTCTGGGAGCTTCACCTAATCTGCCCTCTGGATCCGACCCAATGACATTGAAGTATCTAGAAGGTTTCGAAAAATAAAATAAGTTGTGAGACAATCAGGACAATTTATTCATTCATCTGCTAAAGTAAATTGTTTGTGGATGCCTTATGTGGTTGACATCCTTTGTGGCCAAGGACTTGCAGCATAATACAAGTGTAGACATAAGTTATAGACACAGACCATATGCATGTCACACAAGATGATAGTACAAATATTCAGTTGGACAACAAAGGACCTTAGAGAAAGTATCACACGGCCTTGTTAACTATTATACAGAAAATGAGATGATGAACCCATTACTAATAAAGATACTGGCTTATTAGTGAAAAAGGTAGGAAACAAGCTTAAGGCAGAGAGGCGACTTGGAAAATCGAATGAAGGTTTTAAATTTTTAGACATCCAAACCCCAACATCCATTGCCACCTAAGCCAAAGCCACGTAGTGCACTAAGGTTCCAAGTCCAAACGCCACATGAGTTTAGAAGAAAAGCAGAACCTAAGCTATGAAAAGTTGAAGACGACAAAACGATATTGACATGTGATTCATGTTTCACTTGCAAATTAACATAACTGAAACCCATTGCTGACAAAGTAATTGCGAAGCAAGGTTACTCACAGGATTATGTCAACAACAGTTTAAAAAAACATCAAAAGGTTTGAAACTTTTGTTAGGACACGAACCTCAGGATCATGACTGCCATGTCCGAATTCTTATGAAAATCCAAGATGATATCTTCTGCCATCTTCTTTGCTTTTCCGTATGGATTAATTGGTAGCTGAATTTATTTCCAAAACCTTAAAGTCAACGACTAAACAAGTTTATTCATTCGAAACAAAACAACAACCCAAGTATCAGACAACCCACCTGTGGAGTTTCTTCAGTAATAGGCATCTTCTCAGGTTCACCATATGTTGCACATGTACTGGAATATATCAAAGTCTTCACATCATGTGCAGCCATTGCCTCCAATACCACTAAGGTATTTGACGTAATATTGTGGTAATACCTGTGCAAAAATTCAAAATTTTCATTAGTAGCATTATTTGTACATGTTATATCAAAGTCTGCTCAGGCCTTTTCTTTTGCCTTTATAATTAAGGAAGACAACTGTTTAAGCGAGGGGTATAAACTGCCATGCCAACATCCAACATCAGCCCTAAGTTCATAATACTGAGCAGAAAGTCATGTGTATCCACATAGCATCATTAAGGGAAAATTTTTTAACAAAGAAAGTTCTGGTAAAGAAAAAGGCACACAAGCAAGACGAGCACATTTCCGGTGGTAGTAAATGGTCCTAATCTGGCTCATGGATAGTACTTACTTAAGTGGATGAAGTGTGCTTTCCCCAACATATGCAACAGCTGCAAAATGCATCACAGCATCAAATGCATTCTCTGAAAATATTTTGTTTACCTGGAATATTCAGTTAAGGCTACATTGAAACTAAGTGCTTTTTATTTGCACAAAATATTTTGAACAATACTCATAAAGAACATCACAAGGATACGGATTTTGGATCTCCCAAGTCAGCATAAATAAACTGAAGCCTCCCAGGTTCAGGAAATAACTCTTGGAGAACCTTGACGGCACCTAGGTTTCCCCGTGAGAGGTTATCCTGTGAAAGAAAGAAAATTTTCTTGGTCTAGAGTAATTAACAAGTAATAGAGAAGACCTTGACTTCATCCAACAGAGACCTACCACAATAGTTACACGATATTGATCCCTTAGGAGTCGTAACGCAGCATGTGAACCAATATATCCAGCACCTCCAGTTACTAGGACATGAGTTACCCCTGCTTCATGAAGGGAGAACTGGACCAATATAAATAGTACACGGTAAGAAAAGGTCTTTTACATAGAACTTCTGCATTTTTATTGAAGACATGAAATCAAAATAGAACATTTTACTTCTGCCACACAAAAAGAAAATAGAACTTGCAAAATGTTCCAATGCAACAGCACAAAAATTTCGTACCCAAGTTTTCATATCTATAAGTATCAACTATAATCACAATACGCCAAAAAATAAGTCTACCACTCTGTCAAACATTAAGGAGTTTGCAGATGGGAAATAATTGACCCAAGCAGGTATCAACAATATACAACAAGAAAAAGGACTGGACCAGATTTGATTAAACCAACCAGAAGCAAGATGATATGATCTATAATGATTTTCTCCAATGACGATAACCAAATCAACATCATACTGTGATCCCCGTGATGATTTCCTAGGACAAGGCTATTAGTACCCCTTAGCCTCCTCTTCTCTCTGGTATCCCAAATTCACTCACCCTGCCCCCCTCCCTCAGAACATAGGTGTATGCCTATTTTTGAGGCACCCATGGAGGCTCCTCAGTGGTCAGTGGTGACCACCTAGCCATTCAGGCCGTGGTGACTCATTAGGGTTAACTAAAAACATAGCACTAGCAACAACTATTTGCTTCTGTCCATCAGTGATATCCGGACAAAAGAGCAAAGTTATATAAGTATTTCTTTTTGAAAGTCGCCTCGCCATATATAAGATCCAGCAGGGCCACTTTTTTCAAAAGAGCAAAAGGTTGGCTTTTGCAGTCTAGTTAAGTTAGGTCGCCATATATAAGTTAATCATGCATCGAAGGAAACAGCATATACAACCAAGACATTCTCGAATATGTCAGACCTCAATACTAAATAATTATTGTCGGATAATGATCAAATGGAAAGACGGGAAAAAACAGCAACTGATAATTGTCTAATCAAAAAGGGATCAATTGCATGAAGCAAATGATCATTTAGCAGATAGTGACTCTAATACAATAATCAAATACTGAAGTATACGTTCAACCAAAGAAAATACGCAGTATTAGGGGATTACCGAGCTTGTGGTATTAAAAGATGGGGATTGTTTCAGCATAATAATACATATTGCTGTAAGAGTAGCAGCCAAAAGAATTTTTCCAACAAAGCTGTTCTTCCTCTTGGGATCTGGGTACTCCATGCCTACAAGCACAACAGGGTCCAAGACACAAGCTTAAAACTTCCAGATAACTCAAAGCACAAAATATCCGAATTGAAACAATGCAGTTAAACCTTTGTTATAAACAAATTTCAAAACATATTGAGCAGATTCTAATTTCACCTCCACCTCCTTCGAATCATCGTTTCTCATAACGCCAGATGAACATAACAAATTCACAGAAGAAAAGATAATCATAACTGAACGCAATCGAAAACTCACCTCCTAAAGACATGGATCTGTTACTTCTTGACTGACTTCTGGCCCTGCCAAAATTAAGCATTGGGAGAATGTCTTCAATGCTTATAAATACGAATCAAATTTTATGCCTCAATCAAGAATGACCTATCCCTGAATATTCTTTTGGTGTAATGCACTGCAGTGAAAGCCAAACACAATCAGCCGGAAAATTCAAAAAAAATCACATCCCAAAATTATTGAAATTCAAAAGCAGTGGTTATAACTGGGCCCTCTACAAATAAAGCAATCAAATTGAAAAGGTTAAAATCCCAAAGGAGGAAAATTTTTAGAAACCCTAGAAATTTCACCGACAAACCCCAAATTCCAAAACAGAAAAAGGGTTGGATTTAGAATCACAAGATCCAAACACTCCCAGAAGAAGGAACTCGAAAAAAATTCAAAAATGAACAACCCCAAGTAACATTCCACAATCTAAGGCAAACACATGGCTGTCAGAGCATGTCTGCCAAAGAAAGAGACGAACTTTGAAGGACCATTTTGCAGAGGGAAAACCATTGTCAGGAATCTGAAATATTTATGGGGAAAACAAACCAAAACCCGTGAAAGCTCGAAGCTTCGAGATCCACGGCAAAACCACTCCAAATTTTGTGTAAAAATTCAAATAAGAAATTGGGTTTTCTCTAAAATCAATTAAGAAACCGGGTTTTTTGTATGATGATCACAGATTTATTGTTGCAGACAAAAGTACCTGAAAGCTGACAAAGCAAAACGACAAACAAAAGCACTAACACACAGAAAATACAAAAGTACAAGGAGATGCAAAGGCATGCCAATGAGCACGAAAATCTTACAAATTAAGGCAGGGGTGCACGAATCCAACAGAAAAAAGCAAAATGATTGACCACAATTGTAAGAAAACCAGAAGAAATTGAAAAAACGTACGAGAGCGAGAGAAAGGGGAGAGAAACGTACAATTAGGGAGAGGAAGAGGAAAGGAGAGAGTCACAACAGGGTGATGAGGCGGTGTTGAACGTTTGCAGGTGGCTTTGCTTTTGGGGTTTGAAAATAAAGGGAGAGAGAAAGAAAAAGTGAGTTGTCTCTTCTACTAATAGGCCGAGATTTCTCGGCGTGTTCATGTTTTTGAGTTGTTGGGTTTCTATTTGTTTTTTGCTTTTGTGCGCAGGAAGAGAAAAAAAGAGGCACAAAAAAAACATAAAAGTTATTTTTCTTTTTTTTTTTTAATTATTTTTTGAGTTTTGCTAATTTAAAAAATATTTATTTATACAACAATGTAATTTACACTAAAAGGTTGAGAATTTTGAGTAAGTCATATTTAATTAGTCTCACACTCAAAATCAAACTTTTATTTTTTGAACAAACAATATTATCTATATTAAGGAAAAGGGGTAGGCTTAGCCTCACAATAGGCTAGCAATAATGTGTTCAAATTCGCCTTTGGTGATAAATGAACCTAAGACATCTCACTTACAAGTGAAGAAGAATATCACCTGACCGTAGTACTAAATAACAAAATCAAACTTAAGATAGAGCAATATCAATGGACAGTAAAACAATTACATTAAATATGTCTAAACTTTTTGGAGACGAATTCTAATTTGGATGCAAAATAAAGCACATTGCTATAATTAATTAGACTAAGGGCTGGTTTGCTATTGTTGTACTTTGAAAAAAAAAACTACTTCTGCTGTGCTGTGAGAATAATCAACTGTGAAATAAAGCAACAGAGTGTTTTGTAACCTTTCTTGTAAAAAAAAAAAAAAAAAAAACAGTATTATAATGTTTGATAAAATTTTTATGTAAAATAGATGTGAAAAAAAAAAACTGATTTTTCAAAATAGGGTTTTGCAGCTTTGTGTTTTTCGCTATTTTTCACTCAAAACTGTGAAAAAAAACTGAAACTGAATATTTATCAAACATAATCATCTCAGTATTAAATTAGGACTAAAACTTGTGTCTGTAAAAATTTAAAGTCTTTTCGATTAAGCTAACTGAAAAGAAAATTTAAAAAGCCAAACGAAAAAAATAGCACTTTACAATATTGTTTTCTCAGAATCTTTCTATGATGTCTTTTCAGCGTCGAATGTGGACAGAGTTACTGTACACCTAACCAATTACGTGCCACCATCTCACCACCCTTTGTACTTTTTCTTCTCTGTTTTGGGTCCACCACTTTGTGACACCCTTGTCATTGAGACAGATATTTTTTCCTTCCTTTTTCTTATTTAAAGAGTTTGACTGTTGAATATTTATATTTGGAAAATGTCATGGAGGAGATATTTTTTGAGTCTGAATCTTTTGTCGGATTCTCTTTGTGAGGATTTCAAATATTTGTGAATTGTATCTGTTCATCGTACATCATGTAATCATAAATTATTTCAAATATTTTTATTTAAAAATAATCATAAACAGTACTTGACAAAAATTAACCGCATGATGTACGATAAACGGACACGATCCACGATTGCTACGGATCCTCAAGATCCTCGTCAAAAGGATCCGGAGAGGATCCTGTTGGATATTTTTGTACCACATTGATTATGTATCATCTAATGTAACAAGTGATGTATACATGTTACGTTAATTACTGAATTAATCTAATTAGATGTTGACTATATACATTATTTGCCACATATAATGGTACACTACTATGCTACAAATATGTAAGCTCTCTAACATTACTTGTTATGTATTTTTTCAAGTTTTCTTTTTGGTAAGCAACCATATTTATGAATAATTACCCATATACTCAACTTATAAGACTATATTTTAGAGAGTGATTAAGTTTTTAATTTATTTCGGTGATAAACAAAACTTAACTTTAATGTGACAAGTGGTGTCATGATAATTTTAATTGTTTTTGTATTTACAATTTTAGCCATCAGTAATTGGAAGATGGATATGTATCTCTTTAATTGTATTGTTTCTTGAGAAAATTGCACAAATACCACCTGAATTTTCAAGGGTGTGTGCATTTGCCACCCAAACAAACAATTTTAACAATTATCCACCTAGACTTTAGCTTTGGTGATAATTTACCACCTCCATCTAGTTATGTACATTCTGTCAAAATTGTATCTCTTTTTAATTTTTAATATTTTTAAAAAATACTTAAAAGAAATTAAACAATAAAATGAAATACTAAAACTTACAGTAAAAACACACCTAATCCAAAAATAAAATTACCATAGGCTCCTCTCCCACCTCCCTCTACTCTAATTCCTCTTCCCGCTCACCCCAAGGTCAGCTAAATCTCCCCCTTTATGATTGGATTTCATCCCGGAATCTCTACTCTGATCGCCCTCAAAGATTTTCGTTCTAGAAGAATTTGTGACCCCAAACACTAAACCGGATTCTCGAAGCCCGCACAACCGACCCAGATTTGACCCATCCACTGCGTCTCCTCCTAACCAGCTTCCCCTCCCACACAATGCAACTGCCGACCCTATGCGCCCGTTTGGTGGGCTGGATGAGATTGAGCCTTAGAGATAAGATTGGATTAGCATAGACTTATAAGATAGGAATTGTAACTCATGTATAAGGATAAGTTAAAGAACCCACTTTATTGTAAATTCATAAATCATCATGTCTATCTCATATTTTGACATAACAAACAAACAAGAGACTGGACTAAAATCCATTTTAATTGGTCACAACCTATCACAACCAGGCCACCAAACAAACCCTATATGACTAGAAACCCCCATGGCAACCTATACCACCTCTTTCTCCCACTCAATCTCTCTGTCTCTGTTTCGTCTCCTCCCTACAAATTTTAATCTTTTCTAAAGTTTTTATTAGTTTATTATTTATTTATTTTGTATAGACAAACATAACCTTGAATTTAGCGGCAATTTTGACAGAATTGATCGGAGGTGGTAGATTAGCACCAATGCTAAAGTCTGGGTGAATAAGTCAAAAAATTCTCTCTAGGTGGCAAATGCACGGACCCCCGAAATTTATGGTGGTATTTGCACAACTTCCTCTTGTTTCTCTATCACTCTACCTTTTTCTTCCTCGTTTTTTCTCTATCTTCGTTCTGCTTTCTACTCATGTCTCTTTCTCGGTCCTCCTTTTTCTTACCTCTGTCTTTCCTACTCCTTACCTTTCTTTCCTCCTCCTTCATTATTTTCTCTTTCTTCCTTACTGTTCTCTCATTCCTCCACCTTCTTACCTTTCTCTCTCCTCCTCCACCTTCTTCTTTGCCTTCTCTCTCCTATTTCTTCTTCATACTTCTTACTATCCCTCCTCCTCTTCTTTTTCATATTGTTCCCTAAATATATGAGTGTTTTTTTTTTCTTGGATGATGCTAGAGAAACTAAATTTTTTAAATCAACTTTGGAAACCAAATGATGTGGTTGTTAATGATTGAATTATTAATTAAGTGTCGATTAACGTGCTTATTTTCTATCTATTGGTGACACATTATTTGGATTTTAGATATTTAGTTTTCAATTTTAGTATTTTATTAAAGTATTTGATTTTGAGGTTTATATTGATTTGGATGCATAAATTTTGACACTGATGAAGTGTTCAGGAACTTTGAAATTGATTTTACTAAAATGCTAAATTTTTAAAATTGATCTTGCATAAGTGCTAAAAGTTTTGAAGCTGATCTTGCATGAATGCTAAAATTTTAAAACTAATCTTGCTAGTATGCATTAAATTTTGAACTGATCTTTCAGAGATGCTAGAATTTTGAAATTGATCTTGTAAAAATGTGCTAGAATTTTGAAAATGATCTTGCAAAAGTGCATAATATTTTGAAACTAGTCTTTATGAATTGTGAAACTGATTTTGTAGAAGTGAAAAAATTAATGTGTACAGATCAAAAATTAATTTGAAATTTTTATGGATGGTGTCAGTTTTTTAGTTTCGGCTTGGTTAAGTGTCAAGTCCACTGGAGACATGGTTGAAATTTAAAAATTTTGGTTTGCTTGTTCTGAGATTTTGGTTTTGCTTGTGCTGCTAGGTTTGTTGGGATTTTGAACTTTTTCCTCTCCTTGAAAAAATTTTAATGAAGTTCAACGAAATGTATTTTTTGTATCTTTTCTATAGATAAAACTCCCTTATTTTTACTGCCATACCAAAAATGTTCAAATATGCTGCCAAAAATAAAGAAGGAAAAACAATTTAGTGAGAGTGTGATATACTCTCTGCCCACAACTAGTTTCTATGAACTCAGAAAACAAATTGGACTATTTTGAAAAACTTGCAGATAAATTTTGAATTTTTATGGAGAATTTCCTTTGTGAAGTTACCAAGGATCACCAAATGATGTTATCAATTGTAAATTACAAATTTATTAACTTGGTTGTGAGAAAATGACTAATGGCTCTAGGGTTTTGAACTTTTGGACCATAGTCAGTTCACCCTTGTGAAGCCAAAAAGTTCATCAATCGACGAGTCATAATCTTTTCTTACGTTTTGGACACGTTAGTCTACAGTCTGAAACCGAATGTCTTATTTGGAGATGGATTCTCTGCTCTCCCGTTCATGTACCCTCCTTATGCCCTTCTGTTTTATACGATCACGGTTAAGCATGTTAATATTTTATATTAATTTTTTTATAAAAATAATAAGACAAAAAGTAAATGTTAACGTAGCTTAATCATGACCGCACAAAACAGGAGAGTATGGGGAGGGAAGGCCAGACAATTCATCTCCTAACTTATTACCAACTAGAACTACATAATCATCATAAGTGTTAGAGATCTCAGGTTTGATTTTATATGAATAACAAGAACGTATTATTTTGTGTTGAGTTCAATTATAGGTTAGAGGTTGCAAGTTTGATTTTATATAAACAAAGAAGACATATTATTGTGTGTTAAGTTCAATATGTATCTAGATCCTGGTTGGTACATATATTCTGTGGCGCAGCACATTCGTCTTCATGTAAAGTAGAACATCTCTCACTCCTTTAAAATAGAATGTCTTTGGATTAGAGAATCTACTTGTCTTCTCATTTATGATTAATATGTTTTCACCGTATAAATGTAATAACTGAAATCGTTCATTTTATAATCATTTAAATAAGAAAAACTAATGAAAATAATTTGAAAACTTTGAGTTTTAACGATAAAAACAAAATAAATGGTAAAATGAATAGTACCAGAATTG